ATATTGTGTAGGAATCCTGTGAATGCTATCAGATTCGATTCCATTGCGAATGTTTGGAATACAAGCCTAATAGAGAAAAGTATTTTTCTTTCGTGTAACTCAATGTTTATATGAAAATAGCTGTTTCAAGATGGATTTTTTTCCAGTTTGTGTTCGAAAGTTACTTCTTTGCATGATTTACNGTATTAAGCTTCGAAGGGTGAATAAACGCCTTGGAGTGAGCCAATCCTGAAAGATTAGGCCAGAAGTGCATAAATCTTCTTGCCGTCCAGGTGTTCAATCTTGGCAAAGCCTAAAGCGATTCCAGTGTTAGATTCTGGTCCGATGAAGCGAATTGGCATACAGATGTATAGGTGAAAAAGCTGAGTAACCCCGTGTGAAGATTTGGTATATCCAAGGACAAGGACGAACAAGAAACTAATGAAACTGATATGTCTTTAGTCTTTCTTTAACATTGTTAATTGTGTAAGATCGAAACTCAAATGTAGTTGAGTAGTTGGGTGCGTTATACGAGAAGCAGCGAGTAAATATAGAAGATTTATGCTTAGGGTTGACTAAAACTGAATTGTTAATTGTGTAACATCGAAATTAACAGAGTAGTAGTGGATGATATTTGTGTTTAGGAACTGAACTATTCCATGTGGTGAAACTATTAATTGAGGAAAATGTTTTGAGCTTTCATAGTAAACAATCAGGTTGATGCGTTGTCAAGATTTTGTGGGTGTTAGTGAGTAAGTGCAAAGTTCTGATTCTTGCTTGGCTAAGGATATATGATCGTATTTCCGGTTACCAAACTAGAAGCGTAGACAGCTATCTTGAATGCACTGAAGACGAGAAGCGTTCGATTGTCTTAAAGCAGGTGTATGAATGCTGTCAAGTAAGAAATTTCTGACTCTGACATGATCTACATAATATAAGTTTCAACTCAATTGTGAGTAGATCCCGATTAGGAAACAGTTGCCTAAGAATGTTATACGAAATTTAATTCAGATAACTGACATGTTTAGTAAAGCGGAGTTCTGGATCGAACCACAGTCCTAAATTTTGTATCTTGTTCACAGAGAGGAGTATTCCATTTTCAAAATGTACTTGAAAAAAGGTTTTGGTGAGCTTCGTATTCCTTTTAGGTCCAAAGATCATTATTGCAGATTTTTTAGAATTAAGCTTCAGCTTATGAGCTGTAGAAATGTCGAAAATGACCTTGAAGATCGTGGTTAATAGACAACTGAGCAGAGGTAGTATCTTGAGACGGAAAAAGAAGAAGAAGGATATTTGTCACATCTAAGAAGTTAAAAAGGTTATGCTTTATAATATTGCTTTGACATTGAATTCAAAAGGAGGGGAGGCGTGTTAGTTCAGTCAGTGGTCAGTACCTATTGGCTAATAAATATTATGTATTGTATTGGTACACCGATGCCTGAATGTATTTTCAATATACAGTGGAGTCCCGATAGTCCGAAACGATCGGGACCGGACCCATTTCGGATTAACGAATATTTCGGATTAAGCGAAATCATGACCGAAATACAATGTATATTTATACAAAATGGGATATACAATAGTCATAAGCACAGTTTATTTTGTTTTATCCGTCTAAAACTTACACGTTATGTTTATGAAGTGCGTGACGAGTGAGAAATGTTCCTCATACAGTAATAAATGTTGTTTTCTATATTACTGTATCACAGTTCAAAATACGCTACTTGTTCACAGAGAGGAGTATTCCATTTTCAAAATGTACTTGAAAAAAGGTTTTGGTGAGCTTCGTATTCCTTTTAGGTCCAAAGATCATTATTGCAGATTTCTTACAATTAAGCTTCAGCTTATGAGCTGTAGAAATGTCGAAAATGACCTTGAAGATCGTGGTTAATAGACAACTGAGCAGAGGTAGTATCTTGAGACGGAAAAAAGAAGAAGAAGGATATTTGTCACATCTAAGAAGTAAAAAAGGTTATGCTTCCGGGGGGGGTGAGGCGAGTTAGTTCAGTCAGTGGTCAGTATTGGCTAATAAATATTATTGTATTGGTACACAGATGAATGTATTTTCAATATAATACATGTTGCACTATATGTTTGTTTGTTAATAAGGATAATTTCACATTTTAGCGTTTTCGGCGTTTAATATACATTCCTTTAAAAATGTTGATATACAGCAAATTAATAATTATTAGACTTCTTTTTCATCTAATGAGAGAGTTGAGGAACGAACGATTCTCATGTCATTCAAAGAGGTAGCTATTCATAATTTATTGTTTGTTGGTTACATGTTTGTATAATATCATTTCTACATTAATTATCAGTGTACGCCTATGGGTGCACGAGGATTGGCCATGAACTTGCCAATAAAAAAACTCACTTATCCCGCAGCATTTACATAAATACCATTTCTTTCTTTCTCACTCTCTAAATTATAGCATGCGGATAAGTTCCGAGCCTTTCATGTTTCACTCTTGTATTGAACACAAACTATGTACCGTTATAACCTTATTCCATCTAGTACTTTACATCTAGACACTACATAATTACATACACAAAAATTAATATACAAGCAAGCCTATCCCATGTGCTAGCAATTGAACGCAGATGTGTCTGTTAGAAATTATTATCAGAAGACAGGTAATTTCTCTGGTTTGGGTACGTTCAGAGTCGTAGAAAAGGAATTTCCAAAAGGTGTGATGAAATACGTTTCGGGATACGCTGATTTTTATCATTCTAATTACTGAAAAACTAGATTAGTTGAAAAAAATTCGAAACTGTGTTCCCGTCATGATTTTCAATTTGTTAAATTACATGAAGATGAAATTTTTTGACAAATATAGGTAGTCTTTATGAGTACTCAGAATTCTTTTTCCACCCTTTTATAGTAATCAACAAAACGCCAAGACGTACACGTTATACTGACAAAGATTGCTATAATGAATAAAGTAATAAGTAGAAAATGGCGATGACTACTCATCTATGGGATCTGCAGAAAACTCAAACCACGAAAAGTAAAGATGAGCGAGGTCTTCTCGACGGTACGTTGCAAAGTCAAGCTTTGACGTCAAGCCCGAATGAGAAATCGATTTCTGTCTCTGTCACTGCAAGCTAGTTAACGTTATAAACATGTTTTACATATTTGTTTCAATATTTTTTAATACTCTCACTAAGATTCCATGGAGTGGGAGACATCTGGTGTTATAATTTGAACGTCATAATTTAGAAAAACATTGATTATAGTTTATTTTGTTTTAATTGATAATTGATCTACACGTATGCCATATGATGTCACCTATAATATGTTTGTCTAAGCTAAGGAGTCTGTCTTTCTGTTTAAAATCTGTTTTTTCGTTAATCAGCTGTCGCCCCCATACGAACGACAACTTTCAGAAGTTGAGAAACTTGTGCGAGCTAAGGACTAACCAGGTATTATCTTTTAACGCGTGATTCCTAACGTGTGATTCCAAAACATTATGCACAGTGCACGTCATCTCCCAGACAAGGCTACTTGCATACTTGCACAGAGTCGCTGCTTGTACAGAAGCGACCGAAATTTCATATCTTTTAACGCGTGATTCCTAACGTGTGATTCCAAAACATTATCATGCACAGTGCACGTCATCTCCCAGGCAAGGCTACTTGCATACTTGCACAGAGTCGCTGCTTGTACAGAAGCGACCGAAATTTCTTCATTTTTTCAATATTATGCTTCTGGGTATAGAAAATTTTTCAAGTGGAGTGTAGGGACACAAATTAGCAGTTTCTTCAGCCGTATCAGTACGTTTTAAAAATTTCAAATTTACAAATACCGTATACGTAACTGACCAATCCGACACTGTCACAATGAATTCCGCCATTATTGTATTGAATATATCGCAACTGATCATATTCTATAAGAATTAAATGTGGGCCCGATTTTATACTTCGAATTTGGAACCACTGAATTTGTGTCATGTTTTTAAACTCCACCTTCTCCCGTTAGATTATGGTTTTAAATTTTAATTAAAAGCTTTACTTAATGGAATTATTCAAATATTTCAAATCATTTCAATTAACTTAATCAACTTAATTATTAATTAATAAATTAACTGATAGTTATGATGATATTCATGATTGCCAACACTGAATTATAAAACTGGCCATCCTTATAGAATTTGGTCCAACCATATCATCACAATGAAAAATACACATTTCTGTACAGGAAACATGTTAGTCCTATAGTAACGGGAAGTATTTTTAATAATTAGGGATACCTCAAAATAAAATGAAACTACAATGAAATGAATATGGTGCAGTAATGAAGATTTGCGTATCCCACTGACTTGTTCAAGTGCGTCACCTCTATAACGCCTTATATAACACTTTTATGAATTTAAGGATTTTATTTATTAGTTATCTATAAAAAACGTACCAAAGTCCCACTGTTTATGTAAATATGCACACGTAAAGTTTTTATGATGTCATTTCATTATGTTTTCTGTATGATTTTTATATTGTAACGTTAACATTTCCTAAATTAAAGATTATTGTTGTTATTATTATTATTTCTCGAATGTGGAGCTGGTCGGGCTCTAAACCCGAAGACCCAACATATTCGGGAAAGCGCACCAGCATCATAAACCAATGGCAACTTTCCAAACCATAAGGTAAAAGTGATTATGGGGTCCGAGGATGATGTGCCTTAAGCAGGCACAATAAGAGTAGAGAGGGCATCATTCCACTAAGGACTCCAATCACCGACATAAAGGTTATATCGTTGACTCCAATAATCAGAACAACCATCTTGACAGAGTGGTCTGGGTAGAGTCTGTGGAGATCGAAAAAAAAAACTTGATATTCCATCCACTTTTTTCCTCTTTTCGGACGATATTCGTTTCGCTCGTATCGCTAGTTGCTGAAAACTTCACGACAAATATCGTCTTGTTCTGGTGGTCGAGAAGGACTACATCAGGCTTTATTATTATTAATGTTATACCACTCAGGGAGTATACACACATTGATCCATCATACTTTTTTTTCAGACCAACGTAGGACCAATTCTCCTATGTGTCAACCCTTACCGAGATATTGGAAATCCTCTCACGTTGAGCAGTACCAGAGGCTTGGCCTTGAGTTTTCAACTGAACAGGGTTGTGCAAGAAGCTGTCCGGCAACAATCTGAAACTGGATACCCACAAGCAATAATTTTGTCGGGTTAGTTTATTACAATCGCTTTGACGGAAACAATTGAGATCACTGTCTTATCACAGATTGATCTTTCACTTGATTTTGCAGAGGTTCTTTAACAAAACACATTCATCTTTTATAGTGACGAAAACCTATACAACATGAATATGTCGCTCTTAATCGACCTAATCACTTGTTTGGATTATACGCAGACTAGCCATTCGCCCTGGCTCCACACGGGTGCAATGCTGATACTAAATATACATAGCTATGTGGTTTCGGGGACAGCCATTTTTAATTAGGAAACTCTATAACTCCCCAGCCAAAGATATTTTAGAAAATAGAAACTAATACAGTATTCTGGATGATCAAATCATACACATCAATTCCAAATCCCAGTATCTACTAAGGATGATGTATATTTGTGTTGAACTATTCGATATTGATAAATAACTGATACTTTGAATTTCACTAGTTCGGACTTCCATTGTCTACTATATAAAACGAAATAGAATTTTCAACGATATAACGCAAATAACCATTTCCGTCCAAAAAGGTAAAATAGAATTTAATATGGCGGTATTATGACGTCATCTATGCAAACATCAAAAAACTTGATATAGTGAGAAACAAAAGACGAATTTTGCCCAGCTTTTAAATAAAAATCCAATAATTGAAGTTTCTTATCAGTTAACGTACTTTTTATTATTTTTCAAATGTCATTTTTTACTTCATTTATCGCGACAATCTTCATAGGATGTGGAATTTTTCATTTAAACTTTAACATTGAAATGTACCTGTTTTACAACAAAATATGTCAATGTACTATGCGGTTCATTTTTTTGTTAATATTAGCACTGTCTCAAATCGATAGTGATAGAAAAGAAAACAAATTATATCGGTTTGATTTAACTGTCAAAAGTGTAGTTACCATCAAACCTTGAACACAACACTAACAAATTTTGTTTTAATTTTTTTTCCTTTTCAAGGGACAATTTATAGAGGTGCAAGTGACCGACGGTGCTTTGTATCGAACGAAGATACATTGTTACTTCTTGGATCAAACTAGAGTAATAAGGCCATTACCAGGTGAAAAAAATTACCATATATTCTACCAGATGTTGGCTGGACTTTCTACGGAAGAACGGACAAAGTTAAATCTAGAAGGCCACAAGCCAACGACGTTGAGATATCTCCAACACGGGGATACTAGGCAGGATTTGGCAGAAGATTCAACCAGGTAATAGTTCGTTAGTTAACACCATTTATTCCCAAGAATTCACAAATTTTCACAGAGAAAATATATTCAAAAATATTCATCTACGTGAAGTCAAATGGAGCTATTGCCAAATAGCACATTTTCAAAAAAAAAACTAATTAATACAGTTTATTGTATGATTTTCATTATAAAGGGTTTTGAAAAAACCACGATACTTGTTTCACTATACAATAGCTTCCTCAAGCGTAAACACGCTAATAAATTCTCGCGAAAAAAATATCTAGTCAAATTCGTATACCTAAGTCAAGCAAAATATGTACTTGTTTCGAGTCGGTCTCCATTTGTTGTTGAAATTTTAGCAAATTGTTATTAAAATATATAAAGGTTATTTTATTATCAAATAGTATTTTTAAAATCATTAAAAGTCATGATATTGCCGCTTTACTATAAGTTTCAATTGAGGTTCATGTTTTACTTGAGGTTAATCGAACCAAAAACAAGTTTAAACAGGATCACAGTACAAGTGGTGATCTTTTTTTAGGAAATAGATAAAAAAGTTCTCAACGTCTAAAGCTTGTCAATCTGTGGATGAATATATGGCTGAACTTCCTCTCAACAAATTTTTCCTAAACAGGCACCTAACAATTTTCAATTTAATTTGTTTCATTCACATCCATTATCGTTTTATACTATTTGTGATGTATTTTGTATGCATACATATGCCTTCAAAGGATGAATGAAATGTCCTATGATCTATCACATTATATAACATGAGTTCCTTTTTTCGCAGGTTTCAAGCATGGAAGAAATGTCTAGGCATCCTCGGCATCCCCTTCCTAGACGTTGTGAGAGTTCTAGCAGCAGTCCTACTATTGGGAAATGTACACTTTCTAGATGGAAAAGGTTTAGAAGTAGACGTCAAAGGCGAATCGGAACTCAACGCTGTCGCAGGACTCCTTGGAGTTGCAGGTGGCGCCCTCTTCCGTGGTCTAACGTACCGCACCCACAAAGCAAGAGGACAACTCCTCAAATCCGTGTGTGATGCAAATATGTCTAACATGACGAGAGACTGCCTCGCTAAAGCTCTGTATTGCCGAACTGTAGCTACGATAGTTCGTCGAGCGAATAGCCTCAAACGGTTAGGTTCTACGCTAGGCACCCTGAGCTCGGACTCCAACGAATCCGTGCACAATCAAGCCGAAGTCACGAGCCAGCACGCGTCGACGATAGGCGGCAGCACCAACGCGGGCAGCAAGTCCATGGCAGCCTTGAACAATGCCGTGAGGCACGCGACCGACGGATTCATCGGAATTCTCGACATGTTCGGCTTCGAGGACCCCAAACCCAGTCAACTTGAGCACTTATGTATCAACTTGTGCGCGGAAACCATGCAGCACTTTTACAACACCCACATCTTCAAATCAAGCATCGAATCGTGTCGAGACGAAGGCATAAACTGCGAGGTGGAGGTAGACTATGTCGACAACGTGCCCTGCATAGATCTAGTGTCCTCCTTGCGCACCGGCTTACTAAGCATGTTAGACGTTGAATGCTCTATAAGGGGTACGGTCGAATCGTACGTGTCGAAAATCAGAGTTCAGCACAAAAGCAACTCCAGATTATATGACCCCAAGCCTATGGACCCGAGGCTATTTGGAATTCAACACTTTGCCGGAAGAGTCATCTATGACGCTACAGATTTCCTGGATACTAACAGGGACGTCGTTCCGGATGACCTGGTGGCCGTCTTCTACAAGCACAGCTGCAACTTCGGCTTCGCGACGCACTTGTTTGGAACTGAACTCAAAGCGCTTTACTCAGTCGAAACCGTTCCCCGCGGGCTGAGTTTCCGGATAGCACCCACGTCTCATACGGAGCTCGTCAATGGAGATGAGCCGGTATCCACCCTCACGCAGGACTTTCACACCCGCCTGGATAACTTGCTGAGGACCCTGGTCCACGCCCGACCACATTTTGTGAGATGCATCTGTAGTAATTCGCACGAGGTCCCTAACAGATTTGATCGCTGCACTGTGGTCCGGCAGATTCGATCCTTGCAGATATTGGAAACCGTTAACCTGATGGCTGGAGGCTATCCCCACAGAATGCGCTTCAAAGCATTCAACTCCAGATATCGCCTGCTAGCGCCATTCGCGAAGTTGTTCAGATCGGACGAAAAAGTGAACGAAGACTGCCTGTTGATCCTTCAATACGTTCTTGACTCTATATCTAAGCAGGTCACAACGGTATCTACCAGCTACGCCCTGGGAAAGAGGCACATATTCCTCAGCGAAGGAATTAGACAGCATCTGGAGAAGATGAGGTCTGACACTCGGCAGAAAGCTGCCACACTGATACAGTCAACCTGGAGAGGGTGGCATTGCAGGTACAGGCGGACGCTGCGGAAGGAGAAAACCACCAACCACCCTCAAGTGTCACGAACGGGTCTGGGTGGGGCGCGCCCGAGGCCGCAACCGATCGCGGGCACCCCTCCTCCGGACCCCAATGAGAAGTGCGATGTGAAAATCATCCAGCAGACTTGTAATTTGTTCGGGTTGGATCTCGAAAGGCCTCCTCCTGTTCCCCCGAGCCGTTCCTATACCGTTACCGGCAATACAAAGCTGGGTTACCCACAAAGTAGAGTGATGAAGATGTCTTACCCTGAAGACGGAAAGGTGGAAGGTCAGGTGCTGATCAAGGGAGAGACTGTACTAGTTGTAGGTGCCTCACATCGCAGGGGTCATTTGATAGTTGAACATAAAAGTTATACTTTTCATGTGCCGTTCCAGTTTCTCGAGTTGAAACAGAGTGTCAATATTTAATCTTGCCATTGTTTTTTTCAGTGATGCTGACTTGACTGACGTGTTGTATTATATTTTGAACAGTAGTGCAGCTGTGGGGTCGATTGCTATAGTTCGAAATTTATTTATTTGTCAGATGATTTAATTTGGCTGGTGGTGCCATATATTTGTGAAATGTTCTTTCATGGAACTACTGAAATCTGATTTTCATTGGGACTGGGGAAAATTTGTTTATGTGACACACTTTTGAGTTTCATTTTGTTGATGGAAATTGATATTTATGACGTAAAAATTTGACACAAGTTGGTAAAGCTTGTTGTACTGAGAATGATCATCATCATCCTTACAACTTCTCGCTTCTTCGAGCTCAAAATTTTGAAAATTATTTGACGAAGTAACGTTGATGGAAATTTGTAAAAGACAATATCTATTAAACGCATCGATTTTCGCCCGCCTACCCTTTTTCAAAATTTTTATTTTTTTTGCGGGAAATTGAAAATTCAAATTTCATAAAGAAAAATTAAGGAGCCCATCGCATTCTCTTTTTCTTTTTTATAGTCAAAAAATGGGACCTCCACTCCTTGGTTGCCCCAGGGCATCCAGACTTCCAAATCCAGCCCTGTGTTCAAGTCTATAATGCTCGATATGTTTTTCAGGTTTCAAGTTGTAATATTCTGCTCACATCGCTTTTTTTTCCATAGAACGAATACAATTTTTCAGTATTATATGAAAACTATATTATTGTGATAGCCTAACCCTATACCCCAAGTTGAACTTGAATATTCCATTTTACATTGAATAGCTGATATGTTGTTTTACGCTTCCTTAGTTCAAAAAATATTATTTTTAACTATTATTTCGGATATTTTAGAATATATATTTGATATGTACAAATTAAAAGTTATTTTCTGAGAGCTGAAAGAATATATAATACGATTTTCTTAGTTGGTTTTATTCACAATACCATGTTTCCTAATTTCCTCAGTACCTAACTGAAAATAAATGAATTAAATAAAATAAATAATTATGTTTGAAAACAATATTTTACCCAGGGTATAGCTGTCCAACTGCTCTTGCTAATGTAGTTGACGACTTCATTGAGGCTATTGACAAAAGTAAAACGAGTGCGCTCATTCTTCTCCACTATTCAAAAGCCTTCGACTTGATAAATCATGATATGTTGCTGTCAATGCTACATTATTTCAGAATCAGTATTTCAGATCATGCTCTTTTATCGTACTTAAGTGATAGATTACAAGTTGTTAAACTTAATAACGAGCTTTCTACACCACTGGAAGTTATATCAGGTGTTCCTCAAGGAAGTATTTTAGGACCCCTACTGTTCACTGTTTATACTTTTATACCTCAATCTTCGTTGACGTACTCAAATTTTGTAAATATCACTATGCGGATGATACGCAGATCTACTTCACTTTTAGATACTCGGATTTGGTAGCTGCCACGGAGTCTATCAATCACGATTTGATTTCCCTGCACAAGGTATATCTGTTGATCATGGACTGAAAATCAATCCTAACAAGTCGATGGCTCTACTTTTTGGAAAAGATAATGCTTCTGAATGTTTGTCTGATAACGTTATATTCAAAATTGGAGACAAAAAAATACCTATTAAAACTTCTTGTAAAAATTTGGGACTTACAGTTGATACAACACTTCGCTTCAAAGAACACGTTACTAATAAATGGAGAATTGCATACGCTTCTCTAAAGCTAATTTTTCCTCAGACACTTTTTATCAAAAGACCTCAAAAAATGTTATGTGACACCTTGGTTCTTTCTCATTTTAATTGTTGCGATGTTGTTTACAGTCCTTGTCTTAATCAAGTCGTATACAGAAAGTACAGAACTCATGTGTTCGTCTAATTTGTGGTATTACAAAAGTCAGTCGTATATCAATTACTGATAAACTAAAAGAGCTTAAATGCCTACATATGCACAACAAGCGACGTCATCATATAGCTTACCAGTTTCATAATATATTTAAATCAAAGACTCCACCTTATCTACATGAAAAACTCTCTTATAGAACGGACATCCATAATTTGAATATTCGTAAACAAACCATTCTTACTATACCATCACACTGTAAAGAAATATACAAACGGTCCTTTTCCTACAATATGGCAGTCTGCATAAATAATTTGCATAAACTGGATGGATCATACCTACAACTATTGCCGTTGGTATTCAAATCCAAAATCAAAAACTATCTACTAAATATTCAGTGATTTCTCAAAAATTGCTCTGCTCTCTCTCTCTAACCCTTACCTTCTTATGTTTTCATTTCCTCTCCTTCTATTCATTTACTTATCTTTACTCATTTAGTTTTGTTAATGTATTACTATGTGTTAAAACTGTAAATATCTCTTTGGCAATAGTGTAAGAACAGAAACGGTTTTCAACTGTTATCTGAACCAATAAGTCCAGCCATTTATCCATCAGAATATCATTTAATAGCACCACCACTACTGTATATTCTTCTGTTTTTTTTATGGGTTCCTTCATCACTTATATTGAGGGTATTCAAACGTCACAATTTATGGTGTACCACAAGGTTGTGTATTTGGAGCATTATATGAAATATATTCCTAAAAATAATAAAATCAACTGATTCAGCATCAACTTCCTACATCCATAACACTTCACTACTTTTTCATAAAGCCCATACTTTGACATAATCGACTTGAAAATGACTGTCGTCAGTATGCATATTCCAAGTAGGTAACCATTCTTCGCGAGCTTTCCAAAAATCGGTTACAGCTTTGCGGCCGGAAGAGTTCTTCCATGGCTTTTTATACGGGGAGTTTTCCCCGTATTCCGAAAAAAAAGATGTTCCCCCCACAGCTAGATTGATGATAATGTAGAATTCCGAATCAAAGGGCGCAATTTTGGAATTCCTTCTCCAGGGATTTTCAAAATTTGTCTCGCTGAATTTTCCCAACTCCCAAAAACCACCATCTGGAGGAACCACAGTCCCCAACAGATCATCGTCTATAGAGAATGATATTTTTTCTGGTGTCCACTCCAATTGGAACTTATGAAATTTGGTGTTCCATCCGTTTTTATCGTTTTTCGAAAATTTTGTGTATGAGTAGACATCATGCTTGGAATCTGGTCCGAAATGTAGAGTACTTCCTACTTGCTCAACACCTATTTCTTCTCCAAATTTCACGAAGTGTCTGTTTCCTCGGCTTTCCAATATATCGATTTCACCAGAAGCAGGCCATGAGGAATATTGATTCCATCTCGGCATCATCCATATTGCTGAAAAAGTCATTCCTTCAGAATATTTAAGCAAGTACAAACATACGAAAATCCAATCAAACGGAAATTACCTGTCAGTATTTTTGAAGACGTAAGAGATGGTCAAATTATCTAATAAACATTTTATTGCATGACAATAGCTAACTAATCAGAAAATAGTTTTATTATTCAATATAAATACATTGGATTGTAGATTATAATGGGTGGTATCTCAGAGCCCTGCGACTTATTAGGTATTTCAAACAACCCTAATTGTCCTGAAAAAAATGTACGTTCTTTTGTAGTGAGGCGGCGCATAATTGGCCACGCCCCTCACTCAAACAGTACTTTTGCTGGTCGTCAGACAGGCCGGACCTAAGTCTCAGGAATTTTGAGGCCTATTTCAGGTTAAGGTAACAAAGTCGGTACTTCTCTGCTATGTTCGGTTACGTGTTCTGGTTTTCAACACCGTCATCTGAGTTTCCTCAGGTGTCTTGCGACCTCAGATGATCTCTGCACTTCCACTAGGACGTGAGTATTCATAGTAAACGTGGCCTGCTACAGCACAAACCAAATCCACTCTCGCTGAACGGTCCCTGGCGTTGGACGTCACGACGCCTGAAGTCAAACTTCCTGAAGTCAAACTTCATCGTATAATGATTGCATGAAAACGCACGTGCAGGTTTATATAATTCGCTGAGCGGTAATCGGTTGAAACTAGTTGAAAAACTCCAGACATCACCAGAAGATGGCAAATGAGACTTTGCCGAAACGTTGTGAGAATAATCCTTATGGGAATAAAATACACAGAATACGGAGCGAAATCCGAGAAAACAGCTCGTCATACTTTGTCCGTGAGAATCTTCGAGTTAACATATATATGTATCAATTCTGAAAATTCTTCACATTCCTTTTTATCACTAGGGCTTCCACACTTTTTATTACTATGGCTTCCACACTTTTATTACTATTGCATGCAGGATGTGTGAACAGGAAGATGAGACTGTCAGGCAAGTCCTGTGCGAGTGCCCGGAGTTATCGTCAATAAGAGAGTGTGTGTTCGGCGAGTCTTGGCCTACACCTGCCGATATAAAGGAGATGTCTCCCAGTACACCTTCCTGAAAAGGACAGGATGGACGATGACCTAGAAGGACAACTCTTTGGGAGGATGTACAATAGGTCACATGTGGCCTAAGTACTGTGGGCTTACACTCACCCTCCCTACTCTACAGATACAGATACTATGGCTTCCACACTTTCAAAATGATAGAGTGTTGAAATTTACCTGGCCACAACCAATCTCCCAATGGTACTTTGGCTCTCACTTCCAGCTTCCCATATTTGAAAGAAAATGAATTTACAGTCCGTATATACGCGCCTTTTATTGGGTTCAGTACTATTTCTCGGGTACCAGTGCGAGTACAACCATTCCATTTTGGATTGGTACACCTGAAACATAATTTTTTAGGAGTGATTAATTTTTGGGAAAGAAAAGTTTTTGGCTTTCTACTAGGTACATCATCTTGTTACAAAAAAAAAGATGAGGGAGTCTTCCAAAGAAAGGAAGGAAGTAACTCTATACATGGATGTGTCGATCATGCAAGGAAGTAACTTTCAGACACAAACTGAAAGAAATTCCTCCTGAAACAGCTACTTTCATATAAACATTGAATTATACGAAAGAAAAAATTCTTTCGAAACAAATACTTCTATATGAACACTAATGTTACATCATTCGGTGAAGCTTCTAGTAGGCACAATTATAGTCTGACAAAGAAAGTATCTGTTGGTGAAACATGCACGTGAAATTTAGAACCCAGAATTTTTCATTCAATCAGTAAATTATAGACAGAGTTTGAACACCTGGATGGCAAGAAGATTCATGGACTTCTGACAGAATCTTTCAGGATTGGCTCACTCCAACTAAACGCGTTGGAAGATAGATACCAAACAGTTGTTGGACTACAGTAGGGATGAACTACGATTTCTAACAAGCCTTCTTACAGGTCATTGTCATTTGAATTATCATATGCAGAGACTTCGACTGTCGGAAGACAGGGTGTGTCGCATCTGTTTGGAAAATTATGAAACAGCAGAGCACATACTTTGTGCCTGCCCCGCTGGGAACTGAATCAGGTTTTTAGAATTCGGCAGAGCCGTACCCTTACCATCTGACCTGAAAGACCACTCACCATACAAACTAATCGGCTTTTTAAAAAAATTGGGTTTATTTGGTCGAATGTGAATAGGTTTGAGCCACAATAAACCCTTGCGGGTTGCGGTGGAGAGTCCAATAGACCCACTTACTTTGGACCTAACCTAACGTAGACAGAGTTCATTACTAGCGATTTGGCAACCATCATGATGGAAGTACCAAGTGAAGCCGGCAAGAGGCAGATGAAAATCGTCATGGCTTAATGTTAAGTATTCGGTAGAGTTCACATTAAAATATCTAATATATGAAACGTTGTTAATATCATTTGATCCAAACATAATATATGTAAGCATGTGAAGAAAAATTATCACCACATTAAATTGTAATTGATATGTAATGAATGACCGTCGGGTCTGAATTGGCGATCCCTATATAAGTACTACTAATGAATATATAATACTCATCTCAGTTTACTCGCACCAGAAAATTTCACCCCCCTGTATATGGGATCGTTCAGCCAAAGGTATTTATTTTCTTAATTTAGTTTGGTAGCGTGAAAGTTGCTGCCACCAGATCAGAAAAAGTTTGAAATCCGTCCTGATCACACGGATTGAGAATTAGTAGGCAACTTGGTCAACAGTTGACTTTTTCCTACCTTCTAATCTTCGTGGAGAAATGGCTTGGTTATGCCACCAATTATATCCTCGGAGACNTGGACCTAACCTAACGTAGACAGAGTTCATTACTAGCGATTTGGCAACCATCATGATGGAAGTACCGAGTGAAGCCGGCAAGAGGCAGATGAAAATCGTTATGGCTTAATGTTAAGTATTCGGTAGAGTTCACATTAAAATATCTAATATATGAAACGTTGTTAATATCATTTGATCCAAATATAATATATGTAAGCATGTGAAGAAAAATTATCACCACATTAAATTGTAATTGATGTAGGTCCTACCTACTTGGAAGAAGTGATATTGAATTTGGAATTTTACTCTCGAGGTTTCTGAAATAGTTCATAAATTGCTTCATTATGTTCTTTAACTATTTCACCACTAATAAATATACTAATACGAATGTATTTTCTATTTACTTTACTATTGTTATAGTTCTTGTGAAGCACTGTTTAGAACCCTTGGTGTAGTAATGAGTATTACTAGACTTTTATCCCAACACCAAATAGTTATTTCAACACCTTGCAAGTGTTTCAATCATCAGGTGAGCATCTTCAAGAGGAAGATTAAACTGTTTAATCTTGGTGTTGAGATGAAACTCCAGTAATATTCATTACTACACCAAAGGTTCCAAACAGTACATCAAGAGGAAAATTAAACAGTTTAATCTTCCTCTTGAGGATGATCACTTGGTGATTGAAACACGTTTCGAGGTGTAGCGTGTAGCAAAACGCGTGTTGAATAAAATGTATTGTAAAAATTATCATGGAGTGTAATATATTGAATTTTTATCATACACCGTTGAAAATGTTTTAGGTTTAAAATCACCAGGCGTGTAATTTGGAGAACCCCTAAGACCCCTACTCACACAATTAAAACAGGGAGTATTTTCTTCATTTCTCAAATACTAATAGAAAATGATGCCCAAGTCAAGACCGTTTCCATTTCATTTTGTATCTTACTAACCATTATTTGACAAACGAAGTTAAAATATAAAATATTTCTTACTGGTCCGCCGGAGTTCCTCCATTGATATCTATTGTTCCAGAATGTAGAAAATGTTTTCCATGGTCGGCAGCTACCAAAGTTGGTCTTATATGCAGAATACCATCTTCCACGTAACTATTGCTTCTATTATTAGTGTACCATTGGAATTGCCAATTCTAAAAATAATATTTAATGTTAGATCATCCAAATAGCCTTCTAAAATCGACATTAAAAACAGGTGATAGGTTTCTCCATTCTGAATTCCGTCAAATAAATGAGGACCTAAAATTCTATCTTTGTAAATTCCTGCCCACACTTTAATACTAAATCGCACTTGAGTTCGAATTTCTCGGAACTGCCTGGGCTTGTTTATATTCCAAATGTGTTCGTTATTTCGGTTGAATATTCCACAATTCGTAAAAGTGCGTTCATCTGTCCAAATTACATTTTTCAGGAAAATCAGGTCTTCTTATTAGCCAATTACAAATTTTCAATCGCCTTTCGGGATCACCTGGATGCAATTTTTGAGATATGTGTATTTTGTACACATTTTAAACCGCTTTTTTTGAGATGTCTCCAAGCACTTGTATGACAAATATTCATTTCGGAGGAAATTTGACGTGTAGATTACCCCGGGTTTATGTTTACCTGCAAATTATTATTTTTTTATTGAAAAGAACACAATGTCTAACTCACCTCATACATTTATCAAATTTTCTTTAGTTTCCTGGTCCATTGTGTCTCCGTATTTTTTCCTCGGCTTTTCAAATGAACCAAACTCGGTGAGATTTTGATCCAATAACTTGAACGTAGTTCGATGTGGTTATCGACTTTTGGGATATAATTTTAAATGCATTTCCGATGTCCCAACACTGTTTCTATCGTATTTGAAATAAATTTGTATCATATCTCTCTTTTCTTCATTCGTGAAAGCCATTTTTTGACAAAAATTCAATGACTTGTACAATAACAAAATGTCATTGAATGTAACAAATTGAAAGTCAAATTTAGAAACATCAATGTCAAAGCCTATTATGATAAGAATTAATTTTTTCAATGTCCCAATTTTTTTAAAAAAGAATGATAACTTATGATACATCATTGAAAAGGTAAAATCTGGTTCTATTCAAAACAGAAAGAATCCAATGTAGCGCTCATAAGAAAAAATAAAGTTGACGATGGTGGCCGGAAGACGAAACGTCAGGTAGCAAATCTGAAAACGCCATTATGTAGCAGGGAAAAAGTGGCAATATGGGAGTGCAATTTATTTTCGAATCCTTCGAAAAATAAAGTCAGAAAAAAATTAAAACCATTTTCCGAAATTTCTGTTTTTTCTGGATATACTGGGAATTTCAGAACTTTATCAACGACATATTATTAGTCAGGTAAATGCGCAACTTTGTCCCAATTTAACCATCTTCGTATCTCCCATAGTTTCCGAGATCCCAATGGTGAGGATCGAATTTTTAACACGGTATACTATACCGTGTGTACTATACCGTGCGTATAAGGTATACTTTATTATACTATATGATGTCGTTGAGCGATTTTCGTCCAATTTTTCTCTACGAATTTAAATTGAACCAAAGCGCTGCCGAAAGAGCCCGAAAAATTACCAGGCATTTGGTTTGCGAAATTTAGTTCAGGAAAGTTTAGCCTCGAAGATGATCTCCGAAGAGGTCGACCTGCAGTAATCCAGGACGACGATTTGAGGCCGTAGGCCTCGAGGCCCAAAGTATTGATGGAAAACTACTTTTTTAACGAGACACCCTGTATATTCCTGCATATTTCAATAGAACTTAAAAATACCTTTCCAATAATATAGCACAGTTGATGTTTCGCTAGAGTTATCTTTGAAATACAGAGGTTTTTTCATTACATTTTGATCAAGTATTACTTTGAGGCGCGAGGCCCTTCAAACCGCGAGGCCGTGGGCGGGGGCCTTCGCCTTAGACCGCTTCTGCGTATCGGTACAATTATTCAACTGCAAAGCCCTTTTGTTTTCACTCTCTCCTCATTCTATAAGAATCTCTCTCACGAAAAGTTGAAAAGATAAATACTCACACCTCCTCCGCCAAGGGTTTGTACATGCTGCCACTTTCTAAGGTCCAATTCTTCGAAATCGTCTTCAAAAATTAGATCTCCCGAACACAGTTGTTTCGGAGCATGAGTTCCACTAACTGTAGTAATACTTTTGTCACACCCTTTACAAAAATTGATACTAAATGACGACAAAAATGCGAAACAATATAATATTATCATCTTGTACGATATGAAATTTAATACACTTCACTGCAAGGAGCCGTTTTTTCGATAATCGTTGTGATTACGATCGCGGTAATGATCATCAACAAGTATTGCATTCCCGAAACATTGATTTATTTTTATAGACGAATATGATTTGTATGATTACGCAATCGTGTACAGAGTGGGGCAAATTAGACACTTTTAAAGGAAAACTCCTGTTTTCAAATTAGATTGATGAAAACTGATGGCTGCGTTATGACAAACTTAATGGTGAAAACCGCATATCGATATCTCCCTTCGTTTCTGAGTTACAGCATGTTTTTCGAAAATGTGCATTTTCGAAAAGTTGCTGTCACTTTTTCTCTGTTAAAAATTTCTTCTTTCTATGAAAACATTTCCAAAGCACTTTTTTACGTAGAATTCAACGTTGTAAAAACTTATTTTTGCAAATGAGATATCAATAATTATTGATGGAAAACTATTGTTTCTAATGAGACACCCTGTATATTCCTGCATATTTCGATAGAGCTTAAAATTACTTTTCCAAACTGATGTTTTGCTGAAGTTATCTTTGAAATACAGAGCTTTTAGTTTTTTTTTTGTATACCTACTTTGAACCGCACACTTTGATCAAGTAGGCTTTAGATGACACGGCGATAAATCAGGAAGAAATTTTTCAGTAGTAGCTATCAAATGTTGAGAAAGCTTTCACAGCAGTAATTAAAACGAATAGTTTCAATAAAACTGATAACAGTTTGTACTATGTTTACTACTAATAAATGAAACTTCAACAATAATAATAATAATGATAAAGAACAAACAATGAAATATATTTTTTCAGAGAAGGTGTTCGAAATGTCTACCAGCTTCTCCTACACACCTTTTCTGAACGTTTTTTGACGAATTAATTAGTTCAATAGTAGTGAGAGAAGCAAAACTTTGCATCGCTGTCACTTCCAATTCTTGTCTAGAATTGGTCGGCAATTTAAAAATAAAAGATCTTTCAACGTTTGTTCGAAGGTGATTGACGATGTTTCATGATAAATTTCAATAGTTCGGACTATTGTCTGATATTATGTAAAATTATTTGAAATCCCTGAAATAACTAAGAAAGAATTAAAAATTAAAGAGGAAGAATAAAAATGAATAGCTGAAAAAACAATTATATTAAGCAAAAAAACAGAAAAGAAATAATAGTGACTTAAAATACAAGTAGAATGGAACAAATTGAACAAATAAATAAATAAAATTAAATTAAAAAGTTAAGAGATTCCAAGCCAACTTAATTCACGACGTTTCGATTGTTAGTATCCACAATCGTCTTTGGGTGATGACTGGACCAATTCCTCCGTGAGCTGACTATTTATAGGTCATTTGAGTACTTTCACTTATCTCTGCTTTCCTTTTTCCGCTTCACTGGTTTTTAGTGGGAGATGACCGTTTGGCGAGAGTTGGCCATTTTTTGCTTGATTATAGGTTTCCATACGTTGTGTATCTCTCGCTAACTTGGCTGAATACATTATTCGAAAACATGTATGCGGCTTCTTTGAATTTCCTCCTAAACCAAAATTCTTCTTTGTGTATGATCTCAGCTTGGGACCAATCGATTTTATGTTGATGGGTCCAAACATGCTCTGCTATTTCTGATTTGCTGGTTTCCCATCGCTGTGTGTGTTTCTTGTGCTCGTCAATGCGAACATTCAATGGCCTCTTAGTTTCACCGATATAGGATTTTCCGCACTCACAGGGTATCCGGTAAATGCAATTCTTGGAATCGCATATCTCGTTTGGTGGCCTGGGTTTCGTGAGGCTGTTACGGATAGTGTTTCCGGATCTGAAGCACGTTCTGATGTTGTACTTGGATCCAATTCTTCGTATCTTTTCCGATAATCCTCTGATGTAGGGAAGTGCAAGCACTGGTTGTGACAGCTTCTGCCCCGAGAGGAAGAGAAGCCGTCTTTCCAGAACCAGTCAAATATGTCTGAAACATTACAGAAATCAAATGGAAAGACTTTGGATTGGTACAGTTAATTTCTAGCAGAAAGTGCGGTTTTCTTTTTGCCGTTGGGATAAACTTCAATTTGTCCAGCCTCCAATAGATTACTCAGTCTTTTTCGTCACTAGCATAACTAGAGATGACCATGGAACCGTCTATTATTCAATGACTCCCTATTCCAGCAAGTTGTCAATCATGTTGCTCACTTCTGTTTGTCTAGCGAATGAAAGCCTTCTTGGAGCCTGTCTAGTTAGATCCCATTGGCAGTCCCTCATCTTGTGTAAAGAATTCGTCCTTCAGTTGGAAATAATAGTTTCGTACACAGCATCCTAGTAATTCCATAATTACTTCTGTAGGTAAATTCGTTCTATCTTTCAAGTCCTCGTCTTCGCATAGCTTCCTCTGTATGATTTGGGGTGCTTCTTCGACCAGAACGTTGGTATAAAGGTTTTCCACGTCGAAACTGATTATTTGATCTTCGTGTGTGACTTCAATTGCCCCTAGTAGTTCGACAAAATGCCTTGAATTCTTCACAATAGACGATGTTTTTTCCTTGTAAAGGTTGTATTATGGGAAGTAGAAATCTAGACAAATTTTGTGTAGCTGAATCTCTGGAGCTGATGATCGGTCTGAGCGGCATGTCTTTCTTATGGATTTTGGATAGTCCATACAAATGAGGGGGCTAACTGTGGTACGGTGTTAGCGATGATCCCTCCTAGTCCAAAAAATAGACTTGGTGTTTTTTCAAAATCTGGTATAACTTCCTTTCAATTGATGCAGTAGGGTCCCGTACGATCTTCGTGTATTGTCCCTTCTGAAGAACCTCTTCGATCTTCTAATCTTAGAGAATAGTAGCGTTTCCTTCATCTGCAGGTAGGATCTTGATGGTGTTATCTCTACGTAAGCCGTTCAGAGCTCTACGTTCTTTCAAGCTTCCCCAGAGGTGAAAGTCCATAGGCGTTAGGTCCGGTGACCTGGACGGCCAACGGTTGGACCCTTGGTTGGCTATCCAATTATTACCAAGATTTGTAGCCAAAAAATTGGTGATAATTGCAGTGTTGTGAGACATCTTGTTGAAAAATATTTTCTGAGCTCCATTAGTGGCAATTCATCAACAAGGGGTTCAATATTTTGCCATAAAATTTCTAAATGCATCTTACATGTGAGAGGGCCATTATAAATGAACGGGCCGATAATTCTACCCCTGAAAACACCTGCCCACACACTAAATCCATCGGCTTGCGGATACCATCTTTGTTATGTTCTATCATACAAGTATCTGGAAGTGTTTGTAACCATCTTGCCATCTCTCACTATGCTTTTTTAATGTTCACTGAAGAGTTCTCAGTGAAACGGCATATCTCAATAAGTAGGTGAGGAATTGTTGTACAGAATTAACTATTGTCTAAAGCTCTTTCCTGGTAAAGCAATACATTCTTTCGGCTCTGCCCAAGGTTCAGAATAAATGTACCTCGTGTGTGTATATTACTACAACAAACAACAGGTTTGTCGTCGCTCCATCTGCCTGTGAACGAGGTAACCAACTGCATATCCAAATTTGCCCAATTCCTCGTAAAAGGAAAGAAATCTTTCACGTATAGTCAGTGGGCATACTTGAAGACTGGCTATAAATCAAATTCGTGAAAGATTTCTTTCCTTGTACGAGGAATTGGGCAAATTTGGATATGCAGTTGGTTACCTCGTTTACAGGCAGATGGAGCGACGACAAACCTGTTGTTTCTTGTAGTCTTCAGCTTAGTTCGAGGAATGATACTCTGACGGAATTCGATTTTCAATTATCGGAAATCATCGACTTTATGTTGATGATATACACTACCTTGCACTGATGAGTGGCCAAACAGCCCGAAACCGGTCTGCAAGTGTGTTCCAATAATTGAAAATCTATTGCGGCAGTTGTATCGCCAACAGCATATGCAGGAATAACTTCAGTGAAGAATCCTGCACTGACACCTGTCGGATATAATCCAACGCCCTTCGTGGTATTAGCCAGGGGAGTAGTTGTTTTCTGATAGGTGTCAGTCCATTAACCTACTGTGTAGGGTGTTGAGACTGGCCTGAACGAATTGTTCTTTTAGATGATTTGATTTATAGCCAGTCTTCAAGTATGCCCACTGACTATACGTGAAAGATTTCCAGAACCAGTCAAATGTGTTCGAAACATTACAGAAATCAAATGGAAAGACTTTGGATTGGTACAATTAATTTCTAGCAGAAAGTGCTTTTTTTTGCCTTTGGGATAAACTTCCATTTGTCCAGCCCCCAATAGATTACTCAGTCTTTTTCGTCACTAGCATAACTAGAGATGACCATGGAACCGTCTATTATTCAATGACTCCCTATTCCAGCAAGTTGTCAATCATGTTGCTCACTTCTGTTTGTCTAGCGAATGAAAGCCTTCTTGGAGCCTGTCTAGTTAATTTTGGTTGAGCATCGCCGGTGTTTATTCGATGTAATCTTCAAGTTGGTTTATGACGATCTTTTAGAAAATCTTCCACGTATCGCTTTTCCTCTGATGAGAGTTATTTGGATACCACAGCCATCCTCTCCACTATTTTCAGATCTCTTTTATTTCGCTTTACGCAGGTGGTTACTTCAGCTGCAGGGTGGTGCTCTATGACGTTCGAAGATTTCCACGGTATAGCCTCCGGAATATTTAAAAATTCGTTCTTATTGCACATCTACAACATAAATCGAACCTACATGCAAAATTTCAGCCTCCGAAATTATAGCGGTACGAAGAAACCGTGATGAAAAGGTATTTTCATATGTAAACGCACCCCTTTTAACCCAATGGGGGGCTCCCCAGTTGGAATATTCATAAATCCTTCCCTATTGCACATCTACAACATAAAACAAACCTACATACAAAATTTCAGCCTCCGAAAATATAGAGGTACAAAGAAACAGTGATGAAAAGATGATTTTCATATGTAAACGCTCCCCTTTTATCCCCAGGGGGGCGCCCCAGTTGGAATATTCAAAAATCCTTACTTATTACACATTCATTCATGGAATTATGAACTCACTGTTTGGAACATTTGGTGTAGTAATGAATATTAGGACTGGAGTTTTTGCCAACACCAAACCGTAATTTAACACCCCGACACGTATTTCGATCACCAAGTGATGATCTTCAAGAGGAAACTCTGTTTGATGTTGGGAAAAAACTCCAGTAATATTTATCCATTAACTATATGGGACTCAATAGATTGAAAACTTATGCTTTTTATTTTTGAGTTTCCTAGTTACTTGTGAGAAACTTACTCTTCAGAGCCGTATTAGGTTGATACTTGACTTGAAGATTAACATTTTTGTTTTGTGATAATATGATGTTTTCAAATATTTTGGGTATAAACACTTATAAAAAAACGAAGACGAAATTCAGAAATATGTCACAAAATCTTCCCTATCTAGTAAATGAGAAATCTGTAAAAGTAATATCAAATAACTTGTGTAATTGAACGTTTAAAATTTTCAATAAAAAATTTTGGTTTTGTTATTTACGCGACAAAATGTTTGAATATCAATGTGATTACGCCATTGTATACATAACTAACCACATAACTACCCACAAACAAAACTTTTATTGTATAATCAATGTCAGTTGAGACATTCACATATCCATATTAGAAGTGTTAAAAGCTCACTATAATTTAATTATCAACAGTTTTATATTCATTATTTGTGTAGTGAACATGATGAGTAAAAATTCAACAATTAATAGATACTACTATCTTTTGGGTACTTAATGTAGCAGTGTTACTTGAATACCTAGGTTATGGATTTTCATCAAGTATCGGCCAATTCCACCACATATTCTGTTAACATTTCGTACAAGACAGACTGCAAGAAGAATGAGTTCAGAAGAGGCAATCATTTGCATTAAAGACTAATAATATTTCCTACTCTGGAAGGAAAATTCAGTTGGAAAAATCGGATTCAGCTATGGATGTGTTTTCATTTCATCTTAAGTTCTTGTGTAGACATTTAGACACATTACGACGTAATGATTTTACCGCCTTGTTTCTTCTTCAATCATTAATGTCCTCCGAGTGAAATATGTCTGAATTTAGACGCAGTCAGCAGCTGATGTCAAAGATTGAGAGAAATTGTGTCAATAGTGAACCCGCAGGAAAAGACGTCGATACAAAACATATCGAAAAAAAAAATGACCGCTCAACGACGAACAAAGTTGTAAATGTTGAAATAAAAGCAAGAAATGTTTGGTTTAGATTTAACCCTACAAGTGTTTGCAGGTTTTCGTGAGTATAAGTTAATGATAAAAAATTCGAGGATGGAATGTGACAGGTCTTTTGTAAAAAGTACAAATAGTTCACATGCTAACATAGTTTACAAAAAAATCCCCTCTGTCTCAGAAGAATATTTTTTACCTCGTAAACTACAACTTTTCCCTGAATAAGACTACGTGGGAAATGTTGACCAAATAATGTACCTACTCATCACTGAAATTTCAGTATTTGAAAATAATAGCATCATAGAATCATAGAAAAAACACCCCCTCCACTTATATAATGTTTTTTTTTGTAAGGTGTATATTTAGAAACTTCTCTCGCTCCTAAACTGTACTGTATACCTAAATACTTTTACAACTTAAAAAACCTAAGACGGAAATGTCCGTTAACAAATAGGCGAAAAAAAGTGTAATTTTTCATTAGTAAGTAAATTACAATTATAAGGTATCGATGACTAATAATTTACACTATACGTTGAAATACACTCGTTTTCATTCTATACAAGTAATGTTAAATTTCATAGTTCATGGTGGGAGAGGGGAGCCGGCAATTTCTGCCGCTTAGCGCGGCAAATCGCATGGGGCCAGACCTGCCTTCACTTGGTCAATTTTTTTCAATTTTCAATTTTTACTACAAATGTCATGTTTCAAACAGTTTTCAACATTATTCCCTATTGTTGGAGAAGTGAAGAGATTGGTATTTTTATCATTTATCGAAATGATTGGCGGTTTAGATGAATGTGTACTTAGTTCAAATAAAAGTCCTTATATTTTGTTTCAAAGTAGTAATTTTATGCAACGGCTATACCGCTAAATGCACACACACCTATTTTATACCGGTCGTCCAAATTCCAATATGAGACCTGACACACATGCCTACCGGTATAAAACCGGCCGTCCAAAATCGGTGTGTGTATTTAGCGTACCCAGCACGTTGAAAAGTGCCAGTACTCGTCCGATCACTGAAGCCAAGCAACGTCAGGCGCCGTTAAGCTAATTGCACACACATCTATTTTGAACGACCGATTTTATACTGCTCGTCCAAATTCCAATAGTGAACCATATGTGGGAACGGGACCTGGAATGTTCTTAATTGTAAAACAACGCCTGATAGTCGATGATCTCGTAAGGGTTTCTGCATCCCTCGCTGAACATTATTCGATGATTACACCAAAAATGATTTCTGGCTATTTCAAAACTGGAAAAGAATGTTTTCTTGATTTTTTTAAATATCCGCTTGAAGAATACTTTCTAATGATATAGAGTTGTATGAGTAAATAAGTATACCAGCTCGGTAGTTAGGTTAGGTTAGGTTAGGTTAGGTATACCATAAATTACTCACAAAAATAAATTTAAAATATTTTTAACATAATCTTATTGAGAAAGTTTCTGTTCCTACCAGATATTGAATTGTTTTTTTTTTTATTTTCAACGAATAATTCGATAGAGTAATTAATAAAAAACCGGAGCCTGTAATTTTTCGGTGCTACCATCGGTGCTGAATTATTTCCTTATGAGGGTATTCTATGATGTTCATGATTTTTTTTAATATTTTCTTATCAAGATGGAATCTCCTGAATAAACGATCATTTCAAAAATATCTACTTTCCTTATTCCTTAAATTGAAAGGGGTATATTTTAAGAGATGTTAATTTTTGGGAAAGGTTTTGGCTTTTCACTTATGCATCTTTATATAAAAAAATTTGGGAATCTTCCAAAGAAACGAAGAAAGCAATTAGTTCCAAAATTAACTCTACAAAAATGTGTAGTATAGTATTTCCAATATCAATTGGAACAGCACAGAGAAGGAATTCCCGCCTCGACATTAGGCGTCGGCATATTATTTTTCGGTGGTAGTTTTTCAGTTACTTATTCTTACAATCATAGCAATTGATCACTAAAATTAATTTAGGGTGGTACACTTGTATGGGTGGTATTACTGATTACCTACCTGTATGATGTACCTGATTAGTATAAGTAGCTTTAGTTTTGAGTAGTTATTAGTTTCATCTTCCTCTTGAAGATGATCACTTGGTGATCAAAACACGTGTCGAGGTGTAAAAATAAAGATTTGGTGTTGGGAAAAAACTCCAGTAATATTCTTTCCTATGCAGTTTATACTCCAAACATATTATGAAATTGAATCAGATGTCATTCACAAGATTTCCACACAATATAGTATACGAAAGAGGTAAAATTTCACTTACATCGAACGCTGTCATCCTAGATGGACGGACATCGATGTAAGACACTTGCCTTTTATTACCTCTTCAGCACCAATCTGGATATATTACACGATTAGGGCAGAGCATTAAATTCATTCATAAAATCACTTTATGTTATGAAAGTGTTAAACCTACCCATGTCATCAATTACATATATACTCCTTTCAATTCAAACAACACTCCAAGGGATGGGATTAAATTAAATATGCAAATGAATATCATTACCTACTGTCATCGATGACATGAGTAGATATAACTCGTACGCGAGATTCTTGTATTTGTCTGTGGTATCAAGATCTTTCAATCCATTGTCTGTACGAATAATGCTCAACTTCTTCAGTGAGATTCTGAATTCTGTGTTATCAATTGCATGAATTTTAATGTAGCCAAAGGTCACTACCAATCGTTTTTCATAATAGCACATCCTGTTATTATGATTATTACATTAATGTTTATTAAATAGAGCATCTGATGTAAAAGATCTAGGAATTCTGTTTGAACTCAACCTGAATCACATACCAGGTATATTACAGCCAAAGCATTCAAAATGTTAGGTTTCATTAGCAGCAATATTACACCCAAAGCATTCAAATGTTTGGTTTCATTAGTAGAGTGACTTTATTTCCTGGCAAGTTGTTATACTGTTCATTGGTTAGATCTCCGTGGAGTATGAAGCTGCACAGAATATCTTTTTGAGGATTTGTGCATTCAAGTTGTGTCTGAGAAGAGGGGATTACTTGCCCTGCCAGGACTCCAGATATCGTTTTATAATTTCTATTATTTGAGAATTAAGCAAGTAACCATGAACTATATTAAAATGATGTGAGCTGACCAGATCTATCCTGTAGAATTTAAGGAATTTAGTTGCAAAGAATCAGCGAAATCATTCATCAGTAATAATCAACGAATTTTAAGGTTTAACAGACAGTTTTGCCAAGTATTTCTCTCTCAAGTTAATACATGTATATAAAAAAAAATGTTTTGAAACATGTTACTTTCTACATTGATAAAACTACTGATGCACTGTAAAACCAAAGCCATTTTTATATTAGCAAGGTGTTTGGGAAATGAGAAAAATACAATAAGAAATATTTATTAGACTTGGTATAAATATCAAACCTAGTCAAAATTTCATGTACAATCTGAAATCAAAATTCCCAATACTAAACTTACCAGTCATACAAACGGTATAAAATGAGCTCTTGTCAGCTTCCCATTTGATACTTGGAACATCTTTAACTTGTGTTGGAGTTAATACATTTCCCAGATCAACTTTAACTCCGCTTGGATAGGTGACCTACGAGTAAGTAGAAATCATATACAGTGTGTCCCACTTTTTAAGAAAATATCTCTGCACACTCCGTTGAAACTGGAATAAGTTTGGTTGTTTTTTTTTTTCACTTCTAGAGTGCAGAATATAATTATGAGTCAACTTCAGTTTATAAACATAAGAAAATACCATTCCAGTTGTAACAGAAGTTAGGCGTTTCCATGACAAGTTGGACACACTATATATTAGTATGTGACTCTTTACAGTTTTTAAAGGATCAGTAGAATTTCGATTATTCGAATTTCAACCTTCCTGAACACTAACAGATTACCAGTTATCCGGATCGCTTTGAATATAAAAATATATGTTACAATGTGCGTTCACAGGTTGAGTGGGAGTAAAGCATTTCCTCACTCTAACCGAAATATAAAGTGGTAATTCTCATACTATCAACTATACGGTAGTCCTATTCATTATGTTTTCAACAACAATAAAGAGATGTTTCGAGTAGAGTAGGTCCTTTTTTGGTAAGTTGAACCTTTTTCAGATGTTTTTATTTTCAGATAATTGAAGATCTAATGCATTTCAGTTGTATTTAATATCAATTTTGCTTCAACTTAAAAGAAGACATACCTCAGCCACTTGTTCAGGAGCAACATCAATAACATCTGGTACAACTCCGTGTTTCTCCATACTTTTAACAGCTGAAGAGAAAAAACGAGTAGTAAACACTGGTCTCCTTAATGCAAACATTCTAAAAATATTACATTACAAACTGTACTCATTATCAGTTTAATTTTCATTAAAATATCTATTTGTTCAGTAATTATTCAATTTAGGTTCAAATATTTTGAATTAGCTAGGAATTTTCCTCAACATATCAGGCATGTTCTGTTGAGAATACATTATAATTTAAAAAATGAAAATAAATAATCTGAATGTCCAAATTACTGGTACAAAAGGTCGAAGTCAGATTTGAAAATTAAAAATCTCAACGGTAATCAAAATACCTACAATATTAATGAAATTTGTGCTCTCTATTTTGACCTGATTAGGAAAATGGTTTTGGAAATGTTCGTCAAATTAATGTAGATCAAAAAATATCAACACTTTTACATCTCAGAGATAAGAAATGCAGAAGCCGGCAAAGGAATTTTCTAGAATTCATACTGGTATGGATACATTACATTGCAACCGCAACCAGTAATCAAAAATTACCTATTTTTTCAAACTCTTCCTTGAAATGCTCTTTATTTTTTCCTAAGTATCAATCAATGGATATCAATTATTTTCTGTCCATATGTAACACCTTACACCGCAAAAAATACGTATTACTTTATTAGTTTTTCAGATCAACGTCACAGAATAAATTGACTATTCCGTGACATCGCGTCAAATTAACCTAAAAAATAAGTTCTAGAGACAACACTGCCTTAAGCAGTGCATGACAAATACAAAATTTTGAAAATATTGGTACATAATCTAATTATATCGTACATTTTAAGGCAAGACCTCGTTAATCGTTATCTCGCATAAGTTTACAGTTCTGAGGGTTATCGTTCATAGGGGGCCGACAGCTGGTTAACGGAAAAACATATTTTATCAAATATTTAAATTTTTGACTACATTCACTTCAGAACAAAACTGAAAAATCAAATAATTTGGCTGAAATTTATTATGAATGAAATAATTCTATAGTTTACAATGAACTCAAACCAAGTCCGTATAGATATGTAAGTAAATAGAAATGTTTGGTGTTTCTAAAATCATCGCTATTATGGTTCTACTGAAAAATTTGCTAAATATGGAACACAGTTTCGTGAAAACTGTTGAAACAACTGATTATTTTGTTGTGGTGGGAGTGACACTTGGCAGATGACGAGTTTGGATTTGGAATGTTCGAACGTTCAAACAAGTGAATGTCAAAAAGTACTTTTGTCACTTGTATGCTGTTTTGAGAAACACACGAAAAACTTTCTGAAACGAATAGTTGGAGAGTTAAATATTATGTTATATGCCTAGATGAGTAGTATCATTAAAAATATATAATAATTGTATTGTCTCAGTTGCTTTTCAATGGCGGCATGAAGTCCTCAGACATCAGTGCCGCCCTTCACGGGATACCCCTACCTGGCTGGGGTGGGATGGATGAGAAAGTTGTTCATCCGTTAACGGGGGACATGAGGGCCTCATTCGACAGAGTGATCCATCGTGTCTGCAAAGGCTAACGCCTTGTCGGCGGGGGAGTAGCACACTCCGCGCTCTCCGTGAATGGGTGAGAGAGCAGAGTCTTCTTCCCCCTGAGCCTACGAGTGACTCGCCAAAGCTCGTCACTCCCAGGTTCGAAGGATTCCAAAAGCTCTTCCCACCTTTCGTTTCGATGCTCAATGATGGCCTGTTTGACTTGGTTGGCCATCCTGTTCGCCGCTGTTTTGCCTCTGGGAAAAGGGTTCGCTGATAGAGCCTTCTCAGGCGATTTCTCTCTCGTATCAAGACTTTGATACGAGGGGGAAACTCGTTGTAGCTCTTCAGCGGACACTCCTGCCTAGAGGTGGCCGCTCGAAACGCATCATTCACGTCTCATTTGGTTAATGAGAACAATGAACTACCTAGTTTGAAACAGGTTTATTTGGACAATTATCAAGAAAGACATACAAAAACTTAATAAATCTAATCTAAACCAAGTAAAAACTTTTTGCAAACAGCATTATTTAAGGACGACTTGTATCCGTTCACTGAAACCAATTTTTTTGTCCTCTTCATCTGGTTACATATCTTGAAAATAATCAACCCTACACTATAAAGTACACTAAAAATTTGAAAATAACGCTGGAATTGAATTTTTGACAAAAAAATTGTCAATCATACAATACAAAATGCCGCCTCCTTTATCAAGTGATATAGTGTCTATACTATTAAAAAAAACTGAAAGAAAAAGGATTGTGAATTTTGACAGGATGGAAACTTTGGACAAAGAGATCAGAGTACACCTGCTCTGCCCACGCCCCTCGCCACGCCCATACTGATTATTTTATATTGTCAAAATCAGAGGTTATTATTTTGATTTGATGTCGGTTATGATTCTATTTAAATTTATTTCTAATGTTCAATAGTCTGTTTTGAATTTATATATTCCATTTCAGATAAATCATGGAATTCCTCGAGCGATTGAGTGTTTTATATCTCTCTTTAATTTTTTTTGTAACCTGTAAGTGAAAAACCATGGCCTTCTTCATTTTTATCTATTTTTCCTTTTCAGTAATATCCAAAGGGTCATGTTACAACTGTACGATACCTGTTATCGTAAGAGGTGCATGGTTTTCATGGGAAAATGGAAGAAACACTTTAACAGAAATGGATGCAACATCGATGACTAATAGAGGAGAATGTGTTGATATCAAAGATTCATATCATGTGAACTACACAATGGTTTTCAAAAGGGATTCATGTTATCGATGTGTCAAGCTTATTGTGAGGACTGTCAATATTCTAGAAAAAATTGAAAGTAAGTGTCTGAGTATAATAGTTAATGTTGTAGCGATAGTGACCCCACTAACTACCAAAAGTTTTTAATTCTGGTGTACCACTTTTCTGCTACTTTAACATGGTAACTCTCATGGCCTGTACATATACAAGGGTATATGTAGTTTTGACCTGAGAAGGAGAAATCTATGTAATGGGTGTAATTAAAAAACACCCATCATGATGATTCATGTTTCTACATGCATGAAAATGTTGAACTACAAATAAAAATGCACTACATGAAAATATTGCATATTCTTTTCAGTTATGAGGAATTAAAAAGGACCACACACTATTTTTTATTATGACTCGAGATCCCGGCTTTTTCTCTATGAATTCTATCAAAATTTCGACTCAATCATATTGCCAGTTATGCATTTATCATAATCAGAACAATATAATATCAATAATATTATTATCATTCTTTTAAATAAATCCAAAATATATAGTACAATTTGATTTGAAGAAAAGGTGATTTTTCGAAAATACTGCCAAATGCTCAACTTCTCTGGTTCTCATATGAGAAGTCAGCTGAATATATATAGAAATCAAAAAATGATGATTTCTGTTAGAGTTTTAGTACATGGGATGTTCATCACGAGATGGATCTCTTACTAGTTAACAAATCGTCATCTCAGAAAGTTTCATATGATTGACACGTGTTTCAATCACCTGGTGATCACCTTCAAGAGGAAGTTACTTATGATGCACTGTTTGGAACCTTTGGTGTAGTAATGGATATTACTGGAGTTTTTCCCCAACACTAAATCGTTATTTTTAACACCTCGACACGTGTTTCGATCACCAAGTGATCATCTTCAAAGAGGAAGATTTGGTGTTGGGAAAAAAACTCCAGTAATATACAAGAGGAAGATTAAACAGTTTAATCTTCCTCTTGAAGGCGATCACTTGGTGATTGAAACTTGTGTTGAGGTGTTAAAAACAACAGTTTGGTGTTGGGATAAAACTCCAGTAATATTCATTACTACACCAAAGGTTCCAAACAGTGCATCACAAATGAAGAATTCAAATTTCATTACCTATATTCTAAGCAAAGGGTTGATTGCATTTAAAAACATTTGTAAAGACAAGCCTAATCAATTGTTTTTTTTACAGCGCCTTGCATTAATTCGCCTGAACATGAAGCTACAGTTGAGAATATTTGTAGAGGAATGGACCCCCACCAGCAACTAATTACGTTGTTCTCTGAGAATTATGTTCCTGTAAATTGCCGTTCATCACTTGAAGGAGTATGGAATTTCGCTTATCAGAATCGCTTCAAATTTACTGGAGAATGCAGAAATCCAGATGCTCAGATCCGCTCATGCCAAACTGCAGGATCTCAGTTTTTGATTACAAATCAAAAATTTAACATAACCTACAAAAAATGTGATGGAATGACAGGAACCTTTGACGGAGGTATGTATACAAACTGCTTTTTTTTCACCACTATTTCTCTATTGGAATAACCATTAACCCCCTTTTTATTACGCTTTTTGATTCCTGTTCTAGTTGCTACCTTTCATTTCATCTTAATCAACGGTATCTTTAGAATGGAGTAAAAGTGAATTTTTTTGCCGTAATACTTGGTAAAACTATTAACATTGATGATATTATTCTTGACATTTCTTTCTATTTATTCTACTGAAACTTGTGGGACACCTGAAAACATCACTAGTAAATCAAGTTGTACTTTGAATGTATTTATTCTTTCAGTCGTTGAATATAGCTGTTTGGGAGACTGGTTTGTTGACAAAAATCATTATTTTGCTGTTGCCAATACGAAAGAATCACGAAAAGATGAAAAATATAGATGTTTTTTAAAAAACAGAGATGATGATTTATATATCGGTGTTTCCATAACCGCTGAATGCAATACATTGAAAACTGTAGAAAAGAGTCCTGAAAGATTACATATTACACCAGGTAAGTAATAAGGACATCACTTCATCAGTAACAAATGTTTCATAAATTCATCAAACAACTTATTCTAATGAATACTTTATGATATTTGTATTCAAAATAATCGACATATGCGATTACACTTTCTAATTTTTAGTTAAGGCCGAAGTGGTAGAGCCTGGATGCCGCCTTCCTCAAAACTTCTCAGGAGAATGGATCAATACTGCCAACATAGATGCAGATATCTTCATAAATGAAACCCACATCATTGAAACCTGGTATCCTGATGAAGGACGATATCGAAAAACAATTTATGTTTGTCGTGAACAGCGAGATAGCCGTGTGATGATGGCAAGATTGACTGTTGATGGATGGTAAGTTCAGTCTCAAGGAAAATAGGGTAAAATATAGTTTCATTACTCTTCGACTGAAAGTTCCAATATATTTCATAATTATTAGAGGCTAATAATTCTTATATGAGTACTGATAGGTTTATGTCTATCGCTGAAAATTGTGAATATAGACTATAATAGGAGCAGGATCTAGAAAGTTGAACAGGACGTCCCTCAAGGGTCCATATTCAGACCTTTATCGTTTTTAATTTTTGTCAACAATTTATGTCCTTAGCTTAATAATCCCTCCTCGGTAAATATAATATACAGAACATACATACTCGTGAAAGCACATAACAAACTTAATCCATGGGAGTATCCCAAAAACAGTTTACAATAAAATTCTCAAGTGGTATGAGAAAAACCTCATTTCTGTCAATTTGGATAAAGTATTAACAATTTTTTTTAAGAAAAGGCTTTCAATGATTTCAAATTTTTTAAATGTATGGATAGGATGGTGGTTGCCAGTAAAACTTGAATGTTGGGACTTAATTTAGATCTTAGGCTCTTGAAGAAACCAGACATAAATAACTTGTAAGAGATCTGTTGAAAAAATTAGGTGAATTTTAATTTTTCCCAAAAATATCAAATTTTTAATCAATTTCTATTTTTGTCTCCTTGCGCCGAATACGCAAAACCCTTCTAACTTTTATGCCTCTCTCCAACAAACTAAACAAGCTCAACAGCTGAAACTGTGGACACATCTTTGGGACGAGTGTAGCAACATAAAAAAATATCTTCACGAATGTACATAGCCCGCGAAGTTTGAACATTCAGCTTATTTTTTTGTAATGTTGAGAAAGAATTTCTATGCTTTTAAATTTTCAACTAATGGCTGCTATAATGTACTTAGGTTTTATCTCATTAAAAGTTTGCAGTCATAATAAGTTTGCAAGTGTGGACAACTACATCAATGGACTGTAGCAATTTCAGTTTTCTAGTTTGATTGATATTCATATATTTAAAACAAGAATAAAAAAAGTGTCACTGATCAAGAAATCACTTTCAGTTGTATTTGTCATGGTTTATTCTTGTGACTCATTTTTTGTTCAGTTTCAGTTATGATTTATAATGTTTTTTCTTTTTTGTATTTAGTTATGGTAATTTAGAATTATTTTTTTCTAGTATAAACATGTTGGTTTGTTTGAAAATGATGTTTTTTTGTAAAAAGTATTATTTTTAAGGAAAAGAGAATTGAAACTTTCTATGTTTTTTACCACTTTTATTTGTACCTAACGTTACTGCAGTTAGTTACAAATAAAAGTGGTAAAAACAGAGTTTCAATTCTCTTTTCTTCATTATGATCTCTTACCACGTAGTAATGGCAACATCCATCAATTTAGTATTATTTTTGTTATTATTCTTTACTGTATTTATATTTACAAGGAAAATAATAATACGATTTATGTCGATTATCAAATATTTCAAACTCTGATTTTCTTTACTTTCAGTCAGAAAGATTATATTTGTTTCGACTTCGTGCCCCAACACCACAATATAATTCGATATAGAAGGGGTGTGGCAGTCATTAAATCAGAATTCAGCACAGTTTGTTCCTGGGTTCAGTTCCAGAATAAAGGAAAGTGGAAATATGAATTATACCTAAGAAAAAATCCAGTGCCAATCAAATGTCCAGTAGCAGGAAAATTCAATTTCACACAAAGAGGAGATGTACCATTTGAAACAAGGTTAGTTATTTTGTATTTTTTATATGGAGCCTATTCCCTTTATACATCAATTAACTGATGGATTCAAACAATATTAAATCTGACTGATCCTTTATTCAACGAACTTGAATGAATAAGTGAATTTATCTTTTCTGAATAGGAATTTTATCTTAATATATTATGTTAGGTTAGATATCATATGATATCATATACCTAAATGTTTTATTTGGAAACTAAAAGTGGTGTCACTTAACACTGGTCATTGGTACTTTTTTGACAAAAACAATTCAATCGATTAAATCTTGAACTAATTACTGATGCCATTTGACAGTTTTTTTAACTAGATCGATGAAACTCATCTGATGAATAAAGGAACAGATGTATTGTATAGAAAAGAGTTTTCGTTGGTATACTTTATAAAGTTTGCTCTGCTCAACTGGAAGGTTTTTCTATCAAAAAAAGAAACGGTTGTTGTGAAAGGTCAAGTATCTTATAAAATAATAGTCACAATTTTTTTTCTCAGAATTCTTGGTGGAGTAACGTTGAGCCCTCGTCCAAACATATACTGTAAGCAGAATATATCAGATTTTTCTGTATGCGATACAGAACAAAAAGAAATTGCCATTGATAAAAATTACTGTCTTTCTGTGGATCACCTTGGTAGACCTGTAGATATATACAGTAAGTATTCTCTTCAGTATGTTTGTTAGATGATACTAGTTTTTATATGGCAAAGTATAATAAGTTATAAAAACGTAATCATTGTTTATTTTGTCACTCAGTTGTTAGATTACTTAGTTTTAATGGGTTACTGAGGAACCAATTTACAGTATATATCAATAAACCACTAGCAAAAATTTTATGAAAAGAACGCAACTAAGAAAGTAAACAATTTAAAAAAACATTATTCAACTTACCATTGTCAAACAAATCTAAAAAGATAATTTCAATATTAATCTCTTTCAATTAGACGTTTAACAATTTTCTCCTATCAGATGAGATTTTTATACACACAGGATGAATTATAACATTGAATGATTGAAATTGAAAGACTCAAATTAGGTTCTACAAAGGGTTAAAAAAAATAAGAAATATGAATAATTATTGAAAAATTAATAAATGTTAATGGTTATTTCTAACACCCTGTATGTAGAATTGATGACAACTTTATGCGATTGTGAAGCCATTATTAATGCAAGACCTTTTATATTTCGGATATATCTACTAGTGAAACTCCAGATTTCGATATCACATACATTTAGTGAAACGACCTGCAAAAGATATGAGATAGTGGATATTACTGGAGTTTTTTCCCAACACCAAATCGTTATTTTTAACACCTCGACACGTGTTTCGATCACCAAGTGATCATCTTCAAAGTTCAGTTTTAATCTTCCTCTTTGAAGGAAGATTAAAACTGATAGGATATAAAATTATCTTTTCAAGGATACTAGCGAACCGTTCCGGCTTCGCACGGGTGCAATGTTGATACTAAATATACATATAAACGCTTGCGATCGCTCCTAATCATGGAGGGCATAATCATATAGGGCGAAGCGCGGCCTTCAGCGTGATATTTATAGACACGCGCCGCCGGCCCCCCGGCCAGTACCGCCGAAACTGCTATGTTCCTGCATTCTAAATCTGTAATATCCTCGAAAATATTCATTTAAATTACATGCTGTAAAGGACCATATTAATCTTTATTAAATGGACAATATATTTAGGGTATTTAATTGGATAAGGAATAATGCTTTATTGCTTAAAATCGTTTCGTAAAAAAACCTTTATTTATCGAGGATAAAAAATGGGTATTGTAGGTTATCCCTAAGAGATAGACATATACCATTGCGGACTTTTTTGTAGACCTTTTCAAGGTGTACAATACTGTAGTACATTTTTTGATCTATCTCGTAGGGTTCAGCCAGCGTTTGCAATGTAGGCGCAGAAAATGTGTTCATTTATAACATCACATTAGAAACCTTTAAAATCATCAGTGTTTCTCTACTATATTATGCATGTTATATTCATAAAAAAATCCTCTTGCATCACTCTATCTATTAAAAAACCCGCATCAAAATGCGTTGCGTAGATTTAAAGATATAAGCATACATAGGGACAGACAGCGGGAAGTGACCTTGTTTTATACTGGCACGGACCATATAGTTTTTTCAACATTGTAGTAAGATAGGTACACTTCAATGTTGAAGTTTGACAAATAATATTTCGTATTGAGATTATTAATATAAATTAAGTGAAAAATGACATTAAAAAAATTAATGACAAGTAGGTGAATTGGTGAAAAATCAAGTTGTTTGACAAATATTTCATAGATGACGTCATAGTGCAGTCATACTAAATAAGGAGAAAATGACTTCTGCGCCTTTGAAAAGATAATTTCATATCCGCTTAACTAGTCTAAAAAATGTGCACAGTTTTATTAGAAATATTTGACATGGGATTATTTATGGTTAAATCGGTATAGAATTTCAATTGTTTCATCAAAGTTTTTACCTGAAAAACCACTGAATGGTACCATAAACGATGGTTTCGTTGTCACTCAGTATGAAAAACTTCTTCACTAGCAGATTTTGTATTGATATATTTTTTAGGTGATCCCGATTATAAAATGAAATGTATTGGATTCTGGAAGGAGAATCTAAAGTCATATTTGATTACTTATGATGAACTGGATCCATTCTCCAAATATCGTTGCTGGGTTTATCAGAGATCTGATTTGAACAGAGTTTTGATGTCACAAGGTAAGTTGAAAGACAGAATTGGAACCTCTAGCATTTGGCTTGTCATAAGTGGATACCTAATTTTATTTTTCTAGTGTCTTCGGAACCAAGAAGATTTAAATATATTTTAAGTTGTTTTCTATAATGTTCAATGACTTTCAGAATTCTTTATGTAAGCTTCAACCTTTTTTAATTTATTTCTGGTAATTTACAATGTGTTAAAACAACGATAAAAATAAAATAAATACAACAATAAAAATTAATTGGCGCTCCGGGGCGACTTCATTGCTTCCAGTGGCACATTTGCTTTTTCAGCTGCAGGAAAACCCGGAAAAACCTGCAGCACCACATCATCTGAAGATCTTGATCTAACAATGTCCTATCTCTCATAAAACAAAATGTAGGGTGTCTCCAGAGGCTCCAATAAATTCAATGCATCGCCAGAACACTTTGTGACACGACTATCGTCAAACTTAAACCAGTCCGTTTCTTCTTTGACCAAGGCGTAATAATGACCACATTCAACGCCAGAACCACAGTGAACAATGACTGCATGAATATTATAACAGTGGTCTGCTAGGTTGAAATGTTCATCTATTTCGAACCTTCCAAAGAGTTTCTTGCTTCCGTTAGAGGTTGAGTCTTGTTTGAAAATCATCAGTGTTATTATTAGATTGACTGGTGCCTCAGCTATACTTGTTTCCTTATAACAGTCAGTTAGTTTGGCGCATGTTTGACAATACAGTTGACCATCACCTGTTAAAAATTCCTTTTTCAGATGATTTAACAATAAGCTTTGCACGGACTGGTAATTAGTCGTATTAGGAAAAGCTAGATGAAGTTCCAGAAATTCAGTACTTTTCAGTACTTCTTGAACATTTACCACAAAGTAAACAAGTGAGGATTTTTCCAGCAAAAGATTTACAAACACAAGACGAGATGGGTTGTACGGAATTATTCAGTCCAGAGCGGCTGGGAGTATTGATTTTGCTATTGTTTGTAAGCTTTGAATTAGAAGACATAATTTTATGAAAAGGGTGAAGTCAATACCAGTTTTTTTCAACACGCGGTTTTCTTGGAATTCACATAATTATATTTTTCCAATGTTTATTCTCACTGTGTAATTGTATATTGTGTTTTGTGGTACAATAAATTCTATTCCATTCTAGTTATTCCTCCGATTTTCTGACTACGAAAAAACTACAGTTTGTGAAGATCTAATCTAATGAAATTACTATGGTTCTTCATCAAGTAACGGCCGAATCAATCAGAGATTTTCAATATATTATATAGGACTTTGTACGATACAATTTTGTTTATACCTGTAATTGAATGAGTCATATCGAATGTTCATTTATTTACAGCTATTGGTCCTTTCTGTGATCTGAAACAAGATGTGTATTCGTGGAACTATACTGAAGGAGCTACCGTTGCCATTGAAATGCAGGAATATGAAAGGGAACGTAAGTTTTTTTTGTTTCACTTTTCATGTAAAGAACTGTACTTTTTTCAATTGCCTATTTTTTATTCGAGGACAAATATTTGAATTGGAGTTTTTATCACCCTTTCTTTAATGTTGATATAAAGAAACGTTGTTTTTCTTTCAAAGTCATGAATTTCAATTAATGGTACATCTAGAGTTGTTCATAATCTTGGTGCTTGCACCATTTTTCCATTTCTTCAGTCGACAATTTAGGTTATCTTGTATCTTTATTAGAAAATTATAAACTGAATAGTTTCCAAATTTCAAATTTAGTGTTGGCAGTTTTTGTATCTGTTGCACCAATATCACTTTGATCATTTTGAAGCATCCCATGGTGTAGATATTATAAAGCTATAATTTATATTTCAGGTGATCAGTGTCCTATGTACTTTGATGATGGTAGTGATCCATGGTTGCATTCAGATAATGAGATCGAAGTCTTTGACTTTGGATATTTTCGCAGTAGCAGCTCTCGTGTTGTATGGGCAGTTAGTATGATATCCACAGTTTTATCATGGTTGAGTATTCATTTTCTGTTATGATAATAACCAGACATGCTTTTTTTCACTCAAATGACATTAATTTCCAACTCAAGCTGTTGACGAAACCACTTCAAGACGGCTTGGTGTGCTTACCTTAAGAATTTTTTACAACTAGTTTATAAATCTTTACTATTGATTCGGTTTCCTATTAGGTTGGTTTGAAAAGTTGCGGCCTGGTGAAAATATACTTTTTATTCTTTGAGACTCCTCTTCAAATCATCCTTATATAGTGGGTCGTGATTAGCTATATGAAAAAATTGAACTGTTCCAATCGTCTTAATCTTGACTGATACATTTCGAATAATGATGCGTAGAAAAAACTTCTATGTATCAATAAAGAATCTGACCAAGTGATTATTATACCTTGAATTGAACATGAAACTTACAAGTAAGTTAAGAACTTTTATTGTAATGTTTATTATTGCAAGATTTTAATTATATAACTTCTACGTTACCTGTTCTTTATAACTTTAATGTTTGAAATATAATTACTTTCAATCGTTTTTAGCCAAGGCTTATTTTTTATAGCAGACATTCCATATTAGCCGATATTCTACATGTACATTTAAATTTTTTACTTAAATCATCTTGACTGTTATTTTTTACTATATAATGATCTTTGTTTCGTGACAGCTCTCATTTGAATTGGTAAATTTTCGAAGCTACAAAAAATATTACTCCATATTCTGTGAATTGGAGAAGATTTATGCCTCCTCAAAGTAATCACAGAGAAATCATCAACTTTATGTTTTATATAATTTTTCAAATCGTCTGAAAAGAAAATTATTTTCAAGGATATAAATTCTAAACTTACAATCAAAACTATGGTATGTAAAATGTAGTAATATTTTGCAATTTCTATTGAAAGTCGTTGAAACAACTTGGATTTTTTTTTCTAATTGACACGATTTCCCAATTTTTTGCCTTCAAATCAAATGTAATATTTAGTTTATAAGGGTGAGCTAACATTCCAAGAGAATCTCATATTTTATGAAGTTATGATGTGATTTTTGTATACATATTGTAGATGTTTTTATGAAGCGTTATATGAACAAATGTATTATTTAGGATACTTTTGTAATGTAGGCGAAAAGTATGCACACATTTGTATTGAGGGGCAATCATCATATTTCGTTTCACAAGTCCACTCATGAAATTATTATTTATAAGTGAGCTAGCAATTTTTCCGTCCAGTTTTTTTTGTAAATTTATGTATACACTTGTATTATATTTTGAAATGTATACGATGAAATAAATTTTTAATTAAATATCCTGTTTTTTTACAAGTTTCCTAAAATATATGAAGGAATTGGCTGATACCTCTGATATCCAAGCTAAATGAACATAATCTCAGAAATTTGTTTTGTACTTTCTCAATCCTAGATATATTTGCCTGATATAGAGGACTCTATATCATGCAGTTACTTTCCAAGACCGATCATACCAAAGAATTGTTTGCAAATTTTCATTTGGAAATTTAGCAGTGAAGTGAAAAAAAACAATTTTAGTCATATCATCACTTTATTAGTGGCTAATACAAATACATAATTATCAACTACAAGAACATAACAAATACTTTGTGATAGATGGTTATAACGATTATACTAATACAAAACAAAGATAATATTAAAATACAGCTGGTGAGTTCGCACGAGATAAATTTTTCATTCATGGAATAATGAAAACTACCTAAGAAATATAAGTGACGTGATGTGAAGCAGAATTTTTTTCAGTATTTTGAACACTTGTGGCTTTTATATTGTGATATTTAATTAATAATGAACGAGGACTGAAAAAGAAAATATCTAATGATGAAAAAAGATTGTAATTTTGGCATTTTGTGAAGCATCTAGACTAGATTTGAATTTTTTTTTAACCTGAATTTTGGTATGTCATTTCATTATTCCTATGAATATCACCTTGTGATGACTTTGAAATCGGACTAAATTTCTATGAGATGTTGAAAATATCTTTCAGACACTACGAAATCGAGTCAAAAACAAGCAACAGAATATAAAATTGTTACATATAATACAACTTGGCAGATCTAGAAGCGAATTTGTCATTCTCTCCAATTCTAAAATATTTTTTCACTTTGTTAGAGAAAACATTTCGGTGTATCAAAATTTAAAAAACTTAATATCAAATGACAGTTATAAAAAATAAACCACTTGACAGAACTATCTTCGCTTCTACATCATTTCTCAACAAGTTTATATAACCAAACAACTAAAAAAACTACACTTTTTATTTCACTTTCATATCATGCTTTTTCACAATCACAATGAATGAAAGATGGTCCACGTGACTTTGTAACTTAGCAAGGTTACTTGTTACTTTCAGTCATGGAAAATGTTTATGAATAAATATAACAACCATTCTTTGGATAAATGTATAAAAACAAAACAGGTACTGAATAAGTAAAACATTTACATTAAATAAGAACAAGCTTTGGTATTACTGATGATATATTTTAGGGCTTAGGGGTTAATGTCCTTACCAGAAACCAGATGACTTTCCACCAGGAGGATTGTTCACACGAATGCAAGACTTTCTTTCCAGGTCTAGTTCCTCTGGAAAAAAAATTAAATTGTGAATTAATCTGACGAGAAAAAAATAATGATACATTTTTTTTGGCATTCTATATAACTGACTTTTTTGTCTGGGTACTTTTGGGGTTAGGTAATGCCAAGTAAAGATAGTATGTCTTGTCCCGTACTGAAGTGTAGCTCCCCATATCTCACAGTCGTCTTCTAGAAGAACAAATACAGAATTCAGTAACATCTGTAACATGGTTTTCAATTCCGGTTTTGGCTGGGATTCAGGTTATTATTATGCTTTGGTTTCTGACTGTTTTATATTCAAAGATAATGACTTTCTTCCCTATTATTCAAGTCCATAGTGCTGCTCAGTTAATTTTTGTTATTGGAATGCCATATTATGAAGTGTAATCCACAAAATGGTGAATTCACTTGAATCAAAAACAGACGAGGACCAATTACTGTACCCTGAGGAACACTAGGGGCAACTATCTCAGTCACGAAGTCTCAATCTGGAGTGGAACCATCTCCAGGCAGCATCTATGAAAGCAAATTTTGAATTCTTGTTAATCAACCTGATAGTTATTGTGCAAATGATTTCTTCTAAAAAATTACATCATTCTTTATTCAACCAGTTTACCAATAACAGATAGAAGTGAGATAGGTCTGAGCTCTGATACCACAATCGCAATCTTCTCTTTAGAATAATTACTGCAACCTCAAGACATTTCAGTAATATTATCCTTGTAAATGAGATGTTATTTACCTCACCTAAGCCTTCTCTAGAAAATGTTATGAAACATTAACAAAAATAATCCAATCTGATGTCTTTCCATTCTTAATATCTTTTAAAGTGTAAAAGGTCTATTGTACCCAGAATATTCAGATGATCAGTTGGATTTACTTGTAATCATCCAACTTTCTCTACACTTGGTGATAGCATTCTTAACTCAACTTCAAAGTAAAGGCGTTTTACAATCTTCAAAACTCTTCTGTAAAAGTTACTTTATGCTTTACTGCTATTAACATTTTTAATTAAAGCAAACCTTAATTAGAACTGAATTTAGCCTATACTAGATACAGATGTAAATTGAAAACTCACCACTAACGGAAAAGGTAGACTCTTGAATATTTCTTTGACCTTCTGGTCTTGATCCTCTGCAAGAAGGCGTACTTACAGCAGACTCCGGGAGAGTTGGAGATGGACAAACATATTCGTCTTGGATCTTCAACTGACAATGAAAAATGTACAATCATAGCACCACTCATTAACCTGATAACTAATAATTTTTTTCGAGATCAATTGCCCTAACACCAAACTGATATTTTTGCACTCGACGCGCGTTTCGCCAACAAAGTTAGCATCATCAGGAGAAGAAAATTGATACCTAGTCTAGTCTGGTTAGTCCTTATATACTAAAATTTGTTACCTGAGGTTGTATACCTGAAGACCAATATGGAATTTCTCGGTAATTAACTACCTACAAGTTCTTAGTAATTATTCTCTTCCTAACAGAAGATTAAAAAGCGGGCTAAACGGGATGGGTCCCTTATTGCTGTTTTTACATTTTGCTATTTCTAGACTCTCACATGCATCGAGTAGCCTGGTGTCATGCACATGCCTAATCAGTTTCAGATTGTTTTCACCAATTCTGTGGCCCTTGTCTAGAGCATGTTGGGCGACACTGGATTTTTCTATCCTTCCGCTTCAAGGAGCATTGTGCTCCTTGAAGCGAATTTTAATCGCTCGTCGGCTCTGACCGATGTATTTGCTGTTGCAATCTTGACAATGATTTCGTAAATTCCCGACCTTTCTGTGTTTTCTAGTCTTTCTTTTGGATTACCAAGAAGCTGTTGCAATTTATGAGAAGTTTTATATGCAACTTTCATATTTACTTTATCGAATATCTGTTGAAGCCCTCTCGTGTATTGGGTTTCATATGGGATTACTATAAACTTGTTATTACTCTCCTCTTTTTGAAAAGTCGAAGATTTACGAAGGGCTTCCCTAAACTTGCATTTTCTGATTATCTTGTCAACTATATCTGGGTTAAAACCGTTTGCTTCAGCCACATACCGCATCACTCTATTTTCATTGTCGTACTTTTCTTTCTTTAAAGGAAAAGTTATTAACCTGTGTACCAGAAATAGCAGTGCCGCCCTTTTGTGTTGTGGACAATGATTCGAGTCATTGGGAATGTATCTGAAAGTGCCCGTGTCTTTCCTGTAAATGTCGAATTCTATTTTGCTCTGTTCGTTCCTTATGACCAATACATCTAAAAACGGCAACTTTCGTTCTTTTTCTACTTCATATGTGAATTTTATACTCTTACACCTGTTGTTTAATGCTGAAAGGACATTCTCGATTCTGGTTATCCTTGTATCTACTACAGCGAATATGTCATCAACATACCTGATCCAGACCCTAGGGAAGTAACTGAGTTCTTTCCCAGTTTCTGTCTCAAACCTACCCATGAATAGGTTCGCTATAAATGGAGACAATGGGTTACCCATAGCCGTTCCTTCACGCTGTTCATATTATGAGCCATTATTGAAAACAATTCTGATCCATGCAAAGCTTGGTGAGTTGAATGTATTCTTCAACAGCTTCTTTTGCTAAGTGAAGAATACATTCATTTGCTAAGTGAAGAATACATTCAACTCACCAAGCTTTGCATGGATCAGAATTGTTTTCAATATAATGGCTAAAAATAATAAGTTTGCAAGTATTTTGACTGATTGAGCTTGAAGTACAAGGGATGAGTTTTGAGACTATTTTCGGAAAGTGGAAACAATAATATAAACTCGAAAACTTGGCGTCGGGATCCAAATTTCCGGATTTGTGTAAAATATGTTCATTATAATTGGTTGAACATAGATCTAGTGCATTAAATCACTGTCAAACAATGTAAAAACTGTCTAGCCTACAAGTTTTCGGCTTTTTTACTTCTCCATCTTTATACAAAAATTTGGGAACCTTCCAAAGAAAGGAAGAAATCAATTAATTTCCAAATAAATTCTTCACAAAGATGTGCAAATCATGCAAAGAAGTATAAAGATGAAGAAGAAGAAAGCCAAAACCTTTTCCAAGAAATTATTATTCTTGCACTTAGTGACACATGGATGTATCCAAATCAAAATACCTTCATTAAAATTCTAAATCATTCACACAAGTGCTTTAATTCTCCTGGCTAGCTGAAATCGATTTATATTTCTATTTTCTGAAACAGCTCTTTTCAGGTGTTCTGAATGTAGTAATAAGAATGACAAGGTGACAATAATACGTGATTTTTGATACATATGCTACTAAATTAAAAAATGAATTAAAATATTCCGACTAATTATGTATATAAGCATGGTTTTAAACACTTCCAAAAATAGCCATCATCTCTAATATTTACTCCATTCGGGATTTTGGTAAAGTCGTTTTTACCAACCGCTTTCTGGGACTGATTGAATGTGCAGTTGTCGCTGCCAGTTAGTTGTAGCACATCCCTTGAAAATAGATAAAATTGGTGATTGTATTTCAACAGTTTCATTAGTTTTAATGGGTAACATCGAGTCAGGATTATGAGTATTTTATAAACTATCTCACTTTCTGCGATCTTGATGATATAACTTGAACAATGGATATAAAACCACTGCAATTCTTTTTGAAAAAACAAAAACATTATGATATAGAAAAAATGTTTTAAAACAATGTAAAATTTATAGAATAACACTGATTTTTTTTCAATTCTTGAAAAATATTGAAAAACCACAAAACAATGTAGAAAGAAAAATAAAGAACTAGATATTAAAAAAAATAACAGTTGATATTCTTTATATTCTTTGAAATTATTCTTAGTTGTAGATACCTTATTCCACACTTTCTTGAATTCTTGTACCCTGTTAAGATACATACAATATCCTCGTTAGTTATATATAATATACTTATATTTTTGTTCAATAAGCCTATTTGATTAGCTTACATGACGGATGTTATAGTAGTTTCATCATTCTCAGTTATACATCATCAATGACTTTCAACAACACCAACTAACATCCAACCCAGCAATTATCAAACTAACACAATCAAAAATAATAATTTTGTCGAGAAAAATTTGGAATCTCTGACGTGAAATGAATCTACTGAAAACACTTTCCCTCGCCAGAACAAAAATGCTGTTTCAATAGAAATAAATTATGTTATGCAAAGTACATATAAACTTTAACATTTTAGTTTTCACACTCACAGAGATTACACCTAAATAACATTTAATAATATAATCAAATGTAAACTCTTACTGTGAAAATATCAACACATATAAGATNTGTTATGTAAACAAACATGTGTACCAACTGTTGGTGATGAAATATTTCATTTGTTGAAAACTCAATATACATATATATAATATAATGATACTACATCTTGAAAACAAGAGCTAATATATAATTTTTATGGTCACTTTCGGTTTTAACACGTGGAAAACATTAAAATCATCTAATTTCAACCCCGAAACAAAAACTTTGTTGTGTTGTGTATTCTTTATATTCTTTGAAATTATTCTTAGTTGTAGATACCTTATTCCACACTTTCTTGAATTCTTGTACCCTGTTAAGATACATACAATATCCTCGTTAGTTATATATAATATACTTATATTTTTGTTCAATAAGCCTATTTGATTAGCTTACATGACGGATGTTATAGTAGTTTCATCATTCTCAGTTATACATCATCAATGACTTTCAACAACACCAACTAACATCCAACCCAGCAATTATCAAACTAACACAATCAAAAATAATAATTTTGTCGAGAAAAATTTGGAATCTCTGACGTGAAATGAATCTACTGAAAACACTTTCCCTCGCCAGAACAAAAATGCTGTTTCAATAGAAATAAATTATGTTATGCAAAGTACATATAAACTTTAACATTTTAGTTTTCACACTCACAGAGATTACACCTAAATAACATTTAATAATATAATCAAATGTAAACTCTTACTGTGAAAATATCAACACATATAAGATTTATCAATAAAATCTACGGTAAACATCGAAAAAAACGCATTGACATATCAATTTATACCTCACCAACAAAAAATTGTATATAGATATTATTAATAAACTGTAACGACACAACACACAACAAACTTGATGCATTTATGAAACGCAAGCGAACATATCCCTGGGTTTAGTTAGACAGAAAACCTTGAAACTCAAAGCATGACCCGGAAAATAGAAAGAGCTCACGTCATCAAAAACGGAACTGGTATAAGTTAAAGAGCATTGAAGGCTATTCTAAAAGGTTAAATCTTTCTGTCAGTGCGATGATGATATGGCTTTTAAGCGCATGGACTTTTTTTATTGATGACGAAATGAAATCTCCGGCATTCATGTTCCTAAGGAATAGAAGAAGAAAATGAAATCTGATATTTGGGGTATCGAGATACAACTTTCTTTTTTTTTTATTCTATGTTCAGATGAATCGCAGTTCTAGCAAAGGATTTGTAATTTCTAATTGCCATACGTCCACCAGTGCTGCTGGGCTTAAAAACCATCAATGCTTTGCTGGGATCAAATGCTGAGTAAAAGTAAGCTGGATATCTCCCCTTAGAAAAATGCCATCTATGGAATCGACAGAGAACTGAAGCCTTGCTTAACTTTCTAAGGTGCTTAATTTTATATTGTTGAATAGTGTTCTTTGAATCTCTTATCTTCTATCAAATTGAATTAACTGAACAATAAACTCTTCTACAAGTTTTCTAGGGTAATTAATAATTGACAGTCAGTGGAAAATGTATTACTACACTCAAACGACAAGTTCTCATTTAGGAAAAATAAAATACAATATGTACTTAAACCTATGAAAAACAATTAACATTCTATCTCTGGGAATTCCAAAAACAATGTTAACAAAAATTTAGGTAGTTTTTGAGAATCAGATTATCACTTATTTGTCAAAGTGAGATGTATGAAAATGTTTTTATTGCTTGCACTCTAGTAGAACGTTTCATTAATGAAATTATGGTGTCCGTTTCTAGTTTGTGCAAGAAATATATTTTCTATAAGCTCATTTATTCTGTTCCAAACCAGCATCTATTAAAAATATTTGTCTTATTGAAAATTGTGTTTATTTGGATATAAAATTAGAATATACAGATCATTGATTTATTTATATTTGACTACTATTTTCTAGAAAAGTCGAGCAGTTCACATTATGGAAATATTTCTTTATTATCAAGAACGAAGTTTTAATGATGAACGAGAACGAGAATGTTTCCTACTTATTCATCAAACTCAAACAACTGTTCATGCAGCTGCAGTTTCGTAAGAAGGTATCATCTTTCCCTCCAACCGATTTCCTGGAGTCTTTGAAGTCCACTAGATGCTCGTTAGGACAACAAGAGATGTCATTACATTACTGCAATTGTGACAAAAGCTTCTAAAATAATTTTTTTTAATTTGTCATTCACTTCCACAGATTTATTTTTATTGGAAAAGAATAGTAAAAATAAGAACGAATCTGAAATTAGCATCACGATTTCCACTACAAAGACAGCACCGATGAAATCAAAGGTAAACAAAGTCAGCAGACAGTGGTTTGTCGAATAGCAAATCTTCGACATCGATCTCCAAGTGAAACATCTTTTTCCGTCGCTCTGTAGTTTTTACGGCAAAGAGACAATTAGATGACATCAGAGACCAAAATCGAGATATTCGCGATTCAATAGAAGACATCGAGGTACTCGACAGGGTCACGAATGCCACGTTTGGAAATCCAGTGGAAAAGTAAAAATGAAGCATGAGCACGCCCCGTTTCTGCAGTGAAGTTTTTTTGTCATTTTATGAAAACTGCAAAGTATTTTAATCATATATTAATACACTGGAAAAAATACATTAGGGATTTATTTCATTTTGATTTTAATTTGAAATGGTGTTTTCTCTCTAAACAATCATTTCAGAGATTTACCGTGACACCACTGCAGATGGTGTAGACTCCATTACAAAAGTTCTATTCTAAGAGTGATCAAATTATTAATGAGTGAAAGAATACTGTTAATATTCACTTACGATGCCAAATATTTCAAAAGTTTGAGTGATGTGTCAGAGTTAGATCGGATGGGCGGTGATGTAATCATATTGGAATTTAGGGGTTGTCCTGTGATGCCGATCGCAGACGCTTCCACTTCTCCAAACACTTTCAGGCCCTCCGAGCGACTTTTACTCAAAATATCGGCCGATTTGTCCGAAGTAATGTGAGCCAAATACAGTGGAGCGTTCACCTACATTTCAAATTTGTTAAGAGTTCACAATCGTTTTGTAACACATCATGCGTTAGTATTCACATCGGTGATTCGTGGGAGTGCAACATACATTGGTTAGTTAATCTTGCAGAAAAAGCAGAAAGCGCAAAAAAAAAACAAAAAAAAAACAAAGACTTACTGTGCTAAATAATTCATTAAAGCAGAAGGTGTATCAGGATCCATTCTAAGAGGAGGGCTAAGGACGTGGCCAGCCGAGTGATGGAAGCACTCGTGTCTGTAATGGGAACCGTCTGTCCCTAAAGCTGCAACTAATGTCTCGCCATACACTCGGTTACCACTTCTGAACGCCTCTAAAACCTTTGATGCTGATTTACTCATCACATGCACTATATACAACGGACAGTCTACCTATAACCACATCAGGTAGTGGATTATTATATATCTATAGTGGGTTAATAGAGTATACTATTTTTTTCAGAATAAATTTTGAAACTTTCCAGGCTGATCTTCAACACTAATTGAACTAAAATGCAAAACATATCGTCTGTTGAACCCTACATAATCATCTGAAGAAGATACATCATCGTTTATTAACACAGTGTTATGCACTTTCAAATTAATTCAATTAATTATTTAGGTACTTTATAATAATTTTTTTACCCGTACTATTAAAATTAATTGGTTGCTACTTTTCGAGAATCAAGAAGTTACACCAGGAACCCCACATAGTGGATATTGTTCGCCATAGTTATTCATCTATTCTATATTATTGATCATACTACACTTACATAATATGTAGCCACTGATAAAGAGTCGGGTAAACATTGTGCGGCACCGAAAACGAAACAGATCAAATATCTTCAAGACACAAAAACAAGTCGATGTTTGATTCAAGCGGAACATCTTTCTATCATAACCTCAACTGTCATACCTCCTACCCCGTCCCTTGGAGACCATCGCCCTTAGAATTTGAATAGGGAAAGTACCAAGTGTGACACATAATTGAAAAGATAATTTTATATGGAATTCATCTATATGGCTGTTCACTATGTTACTTTTCAATTTGGTGCCATTTTGTGGGAGAAACAATGTCATCAAGTAACTCCAGAAATGCTCCAAAATATCAGACAACGTTTCGTAGTTATTCTAATGTGTGGTTGTTAATGGAAAACAGTTCCAGAATCTACTGTGAATTAATTTAGTTTGAAATTATACAGTTTTCGATTTTTTGGATACATAGAATATACATTTTTTTGATGAAAAACTTTTGTTTATCAGTCACAATTATTTGGTAATCAAAGCTTTAAAAATGCTTGACTTTGTAATGCCAAATTGTAAGTCTGAAATATGGCTACGATTCACTACTTAGACTGAAAATTTAGAGAGCATTTTAGCATTGCATATCATTGTTATGATAAAATGCTTAATATATTATCCTTTTTATCATCTCTTGATGATTCAAAAGTGATTTCTTCAGATTCATTTTAGCCTAGAGATTTAGAACCTGAAGAAACTGGTGGATACGAAAAAACTGACTCTATACTATACTGGGTGCAAGAACACTCAGAAATCACATGGAAGCTAATAAATGTGTTGGACCCGAACCATTATAAGGACCCCAGACCAGCTGTAAAAGTACCAAATCTTTGGTACAAACATCAGAAACACATCAGAAAAAGGGTCAATGGAAAGTACTGGGAAAATATGACAGAATCTTTATGAAAGGACTGTCTCAGAGGAAAAAAAGGTAAAGAATGGCTCCACTAAAACAGGGATGAAAATATTAGAGAAAAAATGCAATTAGCCCATGAGCATGTAGTGTTTTCTGAATACTTGTAAGAAGAATACTTGCAAAAAAAGGTTTCATTTCAGTAAAAATTTAAATGTGTTCAATGTGTTACGTAAATAGCTCATCTCCTTTACTGGATTGTATGTAAATCCATTTTTGAGACGAAAATATTGGATACCTTCAGTATCCTGTAAAACCTTTCAAATTAACGTTCGCTGATCTGAATGTTCATTAAGTTACTCACTTTTGAAAATAAAATCAAAATGCTTTTTTTGCAAAGTTGGAATACCAACTAGCACCGTTAAGGAAATCATGATAAATGTGAAAGACGAACAGCTGTTTGTTGAATTTGATGTCATCTATACATATTAGAGCATAAGTAACACATATTGGAGTTGATCCACAAATTTTCAGATTCTAGTTTCATATTAAATAGAAAAATATCACAAAAGTAATTACCAAAAGTTAGCAAATATCAGTTTTAATAAGAAACATACAGTGTCTGAAAGCCAAATGGAATAAATTCATTATTTCGGTTACTGTACATATTTAAAAAAAAATAACGAAACACGTCAAATGTGAATTATAATTTGACATTTGACTCGATTTATGTGGGTTTTCCTCAAACTCAAGCATCACATTTAATTTGAGTTCATCACTCATTGCATTGGCAGCTGCTTTTTTATCTGCCCCACATGGCCAAGCTCGCGAAACTGCTTCTATATTTTGCTTATTGTTCCTTGAGTTATGGGCGGTAAATTAGGAAATTTCTCATGAAATAGGCGAGCTACTTCCTGTTGTGTTCGGGTTTTATCTCCGTAACCAATCATTTGTAAAACTGCATTTCCGTTAATCTAACCATTTGTTAGACTTGAAGTTAACGAACTTTAAACTTAAATTAAAATACTGACAACTAATGTTGTAACATACAAAACACGTTGACAAGGCGTTTTGGACTAACGTTGCCACGTAAATTATTTACAGTTTTTTAAAGGATACCATCTTAAAAGAACATTGCTATGGTTTTTGCTTACTTTCTTATTATCAATACCTCATATATTGCAATAAGTTTTGGGTGTGTTTTATCGAATTTCGGTAACCACATGATTTAAATTCATTTTATCTTAATTGTTGCAATAAACTTGAAAGCAATAACATTTTTGAATAGAGAATGAAGAGACCTTTCAAACGATATATCACAAGCCTATACTTCACATTTAAACAATTGGGGGTTGTACTCGTCATTCGACGGGGGTTGAAGGTAAGGATAGCATTTTCCCGTTGAAGTATGTCAAATTATAATTTAAATTTGACGTGTTTCGGGATTTTGTTAAAATATGTACCGTAACCGAAATAATGAATTTATTCCATTTGGCTTTTACACAGTGTATACATATATAGCATACCTGTCCAAAAAAAACTGCATGGAAAGTTTCAAAATTAATAGTTTTGACAAAGGAATAGAATAACCTATGAGATAGCAATGAATATCACAAAAAAGTGGAAAATACTACATTTTATAAGGTGAATTTGGACTAGCAGTAATTTGAAAGTTTGGTGGGTTCACTCAAGAAAGTGCATATAGAAATTATGTTACAAGAATAATCTAGATTGTTGCAAAAATATTTCAAGTGCAAGTAAGTTACAATGCAATTATAGATATGCATTGTTCTTGTGTTGAAATTGGCAAAATTTTCAGATAACACGTGTTTCGCTTCACAGTAGATTTTATTAGCACCATAGAAAATGGAAATGACTGGCAAACTAGCCTGCACCAAGAGGATCCCTGGTTTTCAGGCTTCTGCCAATTTTGTTCAACTACTGTTGAATGAAATGAAATAATATGGTAGAGCTTCTTCCTGAAAATCTGCCTGTAAAATTAAATAACTTTTTCATCAATTCAAGTTTTCAGCATATAACAAGTGAATCAATAGTTCCCTCAAGTGTGTAATGGTAGAATTTGCCTGTTAAATTTTCTTCAAGAAATGAAGAATCAAAAATAGAATTTTCAAGAATACCACCTCAAACTCCAATTTTATGTGGTCGTTTTGTTTCCCTTAACATAATGAGGAATTGATGGTGGATGAAATTACATGCGAAAATATATAGGATGGTCAAATATAAGTATATCAAACATATGAAACGAGGGATCACGTTTCTGGGGCAATAATAAACATAATAAAATAGTGATGAATTATCATTTTAGAACATGTCAAATGCTCTTCATGCAATTTTGAGAATGTAAGTAACAGAAGAGAGTATGTTGTCTAAATTGGCAAACATCAAGGTTTTTTATACAGGCAAACTCAGTCTTCAATACATGCATTGATAAATAACCAAAAAAATCGGGTAATTTAAACATATACCCATTTTGAATGAAGATATCTGGTTTCTGAATAATCTTTGAAAAAAGCAGAAAAGTTCTTAATGATCCCATTGCTTTTTTCCAGAGAAACCAACGTAAAATTTCTACGCGTCTCACTAAAAAAAAATTTAACTATACCTTGAAAACAAAGTAATGTTTCTAACATCAATGAAAATTATAATGAACATTGCCCTAATAACAAACTTTTTATTGGGAAGTTTCAATATGTGGGTTAATCATTGCCAAGTCTTATGACATAATCTAAAACTTGATTAGTTTGAGGTTATTTTGAGTTCATTTTTTTTGAAGTCAGGAAAAATATATTAGTAAAGTTTGAGAAAGTGAAGTAACATGATGCATTTGCATAACAATTCTGATGGTAAGGTGCCTATTGAAATAAATTCGATAACCAAAAAAATTAATTTACATTGGATTTTAAACTTCTATAGAAAACATTTCAACTGATGACAGCACTAGTGTTCTCAACAAATAGTGAACGAACGGTAAATAGCAGATTCTTCTGTGAAACTTACAATTTATAAGAGACAGCTGACAGAATTTTCTTTTACTCTTTGACACAATTCCAATATTTCTGATAGAAATAATATATAGATGATAAACTTCCTTATAGTCTCGAACTAATAAGTTTTTGAAAATTTCAAACCAAAATTCGAAAGGTAAAAACGTTTACATTAGTTTCCCGAATCTACTGTTTCGATATGAGGTTAGAAGATATAAATTGGCAAGTCTCAAAAAATTCTAGTGAGTATTACCTAAATTTTTTGAAGATTGTTACAATCAACTTCTTTAGGCTTTGCTCAACATCTATTATAAAAGTAAGTGACTTTACTCAACAACTATTATAAAAGTAAGCGAGTGGGGTAGTATATTCATATTATTTCAATGATTCAGTCATTTTCTCATCGATAATGAATTGGAGACCGACTGAAGGAAGTGGATTTTACTGCAAATAGTATGATATGCAGTATGCAAAGTGAACGAATATATTTATGAAGATTTTTCATATCTTTTGAAGTGGAGGTCACTTCTTGACAGAGTTGGAAAGAGTTGCTTTGTAGGAATCACACGTTAAAAGGTAAGACCTCGTTAATCCTTAGCTCGCACAAGTTTCGACTTCTGAGGGTTGTCGTTCGTAGAGGTGCGACAGCTGGTTAACTGAAAAACAGATTTTAAACAGAAACAGATGTCTAATAAGATAACCTTGAGAGAAATTATTATATTTCAAAGTACAATTGCAGTTGTAAACAAAGCTTTGAAATAACAAAAAGACTGAAATCTTTGGAACTCAAAGATATTATCATTCATACAGAAATTAAACCATTTCCAAATTTTGAAGAAATAGTAAGAAAAAACTTGCAGTAACGAGTATATGTTGTAGTTGTGCACAAAAGAACTTGAAGATCTTGGTGATTTTAGGTTCCAAAACTCTTTTGACATCTTTACAATGAGGTATCGACTTTTTTTACCCCCACTCTGATAATGAGCTACTTTATTTCGACTGGATTTATATATCTAATCCAAAAGTTTAGGAAACAATTGAGTTATATAGACTTGATTATTTATATATGCAGACGACATATTTCCATCAATGCAGTTTTTGAATACTAACTTCAAGGCAAAAAGAAAATCAATGGTGCCAAAAGTACTATCCCAAGCATGCACATAGAACTACTACAACTCTAAAATACCTGTTTCGCAATAACACAAGCCCGGTTCACAGCTTCAGCTTCGACCTCCTCTGGTCTAGACATTTCGTGGCCCTCAGGACCTGTTATACCTTTCGCCAAGAGCCTCTCAGCGTTTTTTGCGATTAGCGATCCATTTTCGGCATGAACCTGAGCTAAAGCTCCTAGTTTATGGCAGTGTTCAAAAGCGCTGTACAGTTCTCCGTCGTTCAGCATGAAATCATAGGCCATGAACATCTTGAACGAGTTCACGCCGTAATCCCGACAAAGAATTTCCATGTCTTTCTTTATTTGTTCTGACCAGCGAGGTAGGCAGACATGCAAAGCATAGTCGCAGCAAACTTTACCATCGGCCTTTTGGCGATATTCGTGGTAGGCGTCCAGAAGTGACTCTCCTTCTTTGGGAAACACGAAATCAACTGAAATCAAATGAAAATTTTATTAATTTATTTGAATTTCTTCACCCTCAAGTAAAGCAATGTATCACTAATAAACTGTGAAACTTTTCATTTTTGTCTTTGTTTTTATAGAGCATGTCTGTAAAGTAAAGCATAAACTCATCATTAATTGAATGATAATAAAGTTTATTCTTTCAAGTAAAATACAGAAAAAATATACAATAGGTATTACGAATGAACAAAAGATACCCCACAAACTGAATATTTCAGTTAGTATGTGGTATGTAACTTAGGGGTCCTCTAGTATACAGTGCATTTCTTTAATGCCCCCCCCCCCTTTTATTTTTTGAACGGGTCAGCTCAAAAAATTGAAATTTGGGGTAATGAAATTAATGCATAAATACTTTATTTTGAAGTGAAATTGACAGATGAATCTTTCAAGATGGCGACTGGGCGCCATCTGAGAAAAAAAAATTTATGGAAAGGGGGGTCTTGTGACACATCATTTTGAAGCTCCTGACAAATACTTCACAACCCTAGAATATGAAGTCAATATCTTCACCTACTACAAAATGGCGGAGCATTTAATAATTTCCTGAAGACAAACACATTAATATCGATATTTCTAGAAATATTCCTTTTTAACTGCCATAAGGCAATTCCAACAAACCTATAAGGTTTGTTAAGTTATTTTTTGTCTATAAAAACGACAAAAATGTCAGTACGACAATGAACATGATTGTTCAGTTAGAATGTTCTCATTTAGTTTTCGGTTTTACTAGTAGAAAGGTACCACGTCAACAATCTCTAAAATGGTCAATTCTCGTCCATATGGAGAAAAAATTTAAGCGATTTTTATTTATGGTGCGACGCGTAACTGTCACAAGACTGAAAGGATTTTCAATAAGTTTTCCGAATCGTCCTATCTGTAGAAAATATTTGAGGGAACTTGTATCCAAATTCACAACTACCGGTAGTGCACATAACGAAAAGCTCCCAGGTGACCTATCCCTTCCGGAAGAACAGCAAATGCAAATAATTGGTGAGATGGTAGTGAATCCTGAACAGTCTACTTATTCCGCCGCGAATGTTTGTGAAGTGTCTCCTTCTACTGTGTGGAGACTTTTGAAGAGGAATAGGTATCATCCATACAAAATTAAAATGGTACACCAAATAACTGAAGATGACCCTGATCGACGAACAGAATTCTGTGAAATCATGACGGAAATCATTGCAATGCATCCTACCTATCTCCACAATATTTGTTTTAGTGACGAATGTACTTTTTTTAAAATGGCAATGTTCAGAAACAAAATTGCCGTTATTGGGGTGACACCAACCCTCACGTTTTCCGGGAAACACATACCCAATATCCAGAAAAAATTAACGTTTGGACAGGAATATTGGTAAAAATTATTGTAGGACCTCTATTTATTGATCAAACTTTAACATTTGATTATGCTGGAAACTACTGTTGACCCTCTCATCACTGAAATCGTCGAAGCGAATCCTAATGAATTCAATATGGATATTGTATTCCAACAAGATGGAGCACCTGTACATTACTCCAGACATGTAAGAAACTATTTGGATACTACTTTTCCCTGTTTTTGGATTAGCCGTCGAGTTTCTACAGAATGGCCAGCCCGCTCGCGAGATTTTGACACCTTTGGACTTTTTTATGGGGCTATTTGAACAAAAGGTATACGAAACTGAACCTGCTTCAATATTGGATATACGACTGAGATGAATAATAAATATTTGTAGAGATATTGACGTTACTGCGTTCGAAAATGTTAGGCGTGAAATATCGGATAGGCTGTTCATATATCAAGAAGTTCAAGGCTACCATTTCGAGCATCTTCTGAACTGACCTCAAGCTTATTACCTCATATTATGTAGTTGAATGTTAATGTATTCAGGCAATTATTAAAAGTTACGCCATTTTGTAGTAGTTGAAGATATTGACGTTATATTCTAGGGTTGTGAAGCATTCGTCAGGAGCTTCGAAAAGATGTGTCACAAAACCCCCCTTTCCATTTAATTTTTTCCCCAGATGGCGCCCAGTCGCCATCTTGAAAGTTTCGTCTGTCAATTTTACTTCAAAATAAAGTATTCATGCATTAATTTCATTGTCCCAAATTTCAATTTTTTGAGTTGACCTGTTCAAAAAATAAAAGGGGGGGATATTAAAGAAATGCACTGTATAAATAAATACAAGCACATACGCAAAAATCGTCAGGATAATGAAATGTTTTGCCAATCTTCAATAACAATGTACTTATCTCATGATGAATTTATGGACGCACTGTATATCTATATAATATAAGAATCAGACTCCGGTATATACAGCCTGGGTATGAGTTATATATGAAAATCATCAACCAAAAAAGACAACATAATGAAGTTGTGATTCTACCAGCTGATGATTAAGACTTAGTATTGATTGGAAATAGAAACAAAAGAGAGGACAATTGAGAGAATGGATTTCACAATGTTCTTTTCATTTATTGTGTTGTTTCTTCTGGCATCATTATTGATTTCAAAATATCATAAACATTAAAATAAATCAGAAATAATCGAAAATTTGTATCCAATGGTATGATAAAAAGTGACCTGTTTTGAACTAAAATTGATAAAATTCAATTATTGACAGTCTGCAAAATAATATCATATTGTTTTTTTTACATTTTTTGTAAATTTTATCCTCAGATGCAGTATAACTGCACTTTAATGGGTATACTCAATAAGATTTTGAATAAACACAACTTTGAATTTCTTTTGCAGGTTTTTACTTAGTTATTAAGTTGACATATATTACCTATACATTACTTAGTCAAAAGAAAAAAAAAAGTGTTCGTTGTATGACTCCCCATGATACAACCCTCTCACTGAATCCTTTGGAGACTGTGATTTTATTCCAATAAAAAGTATGACTTCAACAAGATTATAATGGTATAATATTACCCACAATACAGGAAATAAATTGTCTAAGAGAATCTCTGCTGAACTTACTTTTTCAGATACAAACTTAAAAAAAGCACTTTCGAAACAACTACTTTCACATGAACATTACACAAAAAGAAATTTCCTTCCAAAACAACTTGTCTCGTGTAAACACGAAAATAACTTTTTCTTATTCAGTTTGTACTCCAAACATTCGTTATGGAACTGAAACAGATATACAGGAATATTACTGGAGTTTTATCACAACGTCAAACCGTTATTTTTAACACCTCGACAAGTGTTTCGATCACCAAGTGATCATCTTCAAGAGGAAGATTAAACTGGAAAAACTTGCTGGCTAACCCTATTTATACAATATAGGTTTACCATACAGGTGTACCGTGTACCACACCTGTATGGTATAACGATTTGGTGTTGGGAAGAAATTTGAGTAATATTCATTTACTACACCAAAGCTTCCAAACAGTGCATCACAAGATATATAGGAACACAAAGTAATATATGAAAGAATATAGATAACAAATTTCATTTACATGGAACTTTAATGGCGACTTGTCACGATGACAAGTCATAAAAACATTCATACGGTTAATTGATTCAATCCCAGCCATAGGAATTTTGTTCAAATTGAAAATGGAACATTTTTCAGGAAAGATAAGTTTTCGTGGAAAAAGCGTTTGAAAAATTTATCCATTTCAGTTTCGTGTGTTTTTGTAGTTTCATATCTCAATAAATATTTATTCTACTGTGTCGTATATACTGATCGATAGAGAATTTTGAACTCTATACATTGATGCTGTACATTTTTTCCAAATTTTAATTTTTTGCCTCTTTCAGCTTAATGTCGTAAGGCGATTTTCGGGCAATTTTTCTCTACGAATTCAAATTGAACCAAAGTGCTGCAGTGACAGCCCAAAAAATTAACCAGCCATTTGCCTGGTTAAAGCCAGCACGCTGGTTAATGAACGCACTGTTCGACTGTTCATTCCGGAGATTTTAGCCTCGAAGATGAGCACCGTGGTTGACCTACAGTAATCCAGGACTATGATTTGAGGACCCTTGTGGATACTGACCCATCACAATCGGTGAGTGGGATGGCGGAAGAAATGGGGGTCAGCTCCCATGCGGTTTTTGATTGTTCAAAACGTATTGGAATAGTTGAAAAGCTCGAAAAATGGGTACCCCAAAATTTGAATGATCGATAGAAATTGTCACGTTTCGAAATCTATTATTATTTGCTTGTCACCTTTGATGAAAAGTGGATGCTCTATGACAACAGAAGGCGTTCAGGACAGTGGTTGGACATCGATGAGCCACCCAGACACTTTCCAAAGGAGAAAACCCACCAAAAAGACCATGGTTACTGTATGGTGATCATCGGCTGGTGTGATTTAGAGGAGTGACATACAATTGGTTTGAATCGTACCTCTCAGGCCGAAGTCAAATGGTAAGAACATCGGAACTCTCAGAAAGCAGGGCAATCACATCTGGTGTGCCACAGGGTTCTGTGTTGGGTCCAGGTCTGTTTTTGTTGTATATTAATGATTTGACTATGACAGATATATCTGGCAGCTTTACTCTATTCGCGGATGATACAACAATATTGTGGAAGGAAAAAACCCAGGAGAGCTACATAAAAAGATATCATCTGACAATAAATTATATTTTGATTTGATAACTTTCTATAACCGGGCCAAACCATCACAGCAGAGTCCTAATGTGAGGAAATCAACGAAATCATCATCCGAAAATTGAACAAAGTTCTGCCACACCCACAATACTTCCCAGACCTTCAGCCAACCAACTATCATCTTTCCAAGTACTCCGATAACTTTCTCACCAGTAGAACCTTCGCCAACCAGGACCAGACAAAAATGGCCTTTATCGACTTCATCGACCTAATACTAATTTTTCAGTCGTATACTTAAATATTTATATGAAAGTAGTTGTTTCGAAAGAAATTCATCGGCCGATGTTGAAAATCCATAACGTTATTGTAAGACTTTCGTGTATCTATAAAAGCCTGAAAAAGCTATCACAATAAAGTGTCTCTTGTATAGAAAGAAATTTTTCATTTGTGTAGTTCAATATTTACGTGAAAGTAGTTGTTTCGGATGAATTTTAAAGACCAGTGTTCGTTACAAACGATTTAAGCAAATTACTTACAGTTCTTACAGAATGATTTACCAGAAGCTTTGGAAAGGCTAAATTAAGGAATAAAGCAAATTACGTGGTATTTACAAGATGGAGTTCCAGCGCATTTCGATGACGAGGTTGGGGAATATCTTTTCGGTGTGTATCCTGGACGTTTGATTGGAATGGGCCCTGATGTACCTGTTTCTTGGCCACCCAGACGTCCAGATTTTAACCCTATTCACTTTTGCTTATAGTGTTTTATGAAAAGGGATGTGTTTTCTTTTAATATCCGGCGAACGACAACTGATGCATCGGATCATTGAAAGTGCAAATCGATTTCGTCGGAAGCCTATGACCTTCCAAAAAATTTGGTTTTCATTTTCAAAATGGTGCCGAATGTGTATTCCGGTAAATGAAGGCCATTTTGAACATTCATTTTAGGAAATACCACTTTTACACATATTTTTTGTACCTGAAAATGACATGAATACTCAGGTATTACAACTTACTTTTGTTACTCAAAATTTTTGCCGGTAAAAACTGCCTTTTCGAAAAAGTGCTACAAGGTAAAAAAAAATTGAAATAATGTATTAAACCAATGGTTTTCACCATTGGTTTAATACATTGGTGCTGTGACACCAACAAAAACGTCGCCATGGGTATATGGTTATGACATCGAAACCAAAGCCCAACGTCCCAATGGAAGAGTCCAAGAGAGATGAGACCGAAAAATGCATGCCAGGTTCGATCATATACGTCAAGGTTTTTGTCACATAGTTGCTTGCAAGAAGCAATTCTAAGAAAACGTCCGGTATTGTGGAAAAACAATGCATGGCTTTTGCATCACGATAATGCACTTGTTATTGCTTGTTCGTAATTTTTTACCAAAAACAACACCGTAATCATGCCTCGGCCATCGTATTCACCAGATTTGGCCACCTGCGACTTCTTCCTGTTCCCAAGATTGGAAAGACCCATGGAGGGACGGCGTTTTGCGACGATTGAGGAGATAAAAATCGAATCGCTGAAAGAGCTCACGGACATACCAAAAAGTGCATATATCAGAACTACTTCGAGGATTGGAAAAATGTATTATATTTGAAGCGGACTACTTAGAAGGGGACAAAATAGAAATTGATAAATAA